CAAAGCATGCAAACATGTAGCCAACAACAGCAGAGAGCAACCAATCTGGCCGTCGTTTAATTGGAACAAGTTTATTCACTCAGGCAACTGGCACACATGATTTATACTTGGACGCATGGTTTTTCCCAAACGCCACATACGTCATCACACAAAGCCTACAAGGAGCAAGGAACCAACACCCTTCGCGTACTACCTTCTCAGTCCCCACAAGCGGTCAAAACAAAACAGACATGCAAATACCCAGTGTCAAACAGAAACCCCAAGCAAAGCTCAGCAACTCGGGCTGGATGCGAATGACCTCTGCTGCCCTGCTGTTGCCCAAGCCAGGAGAAGCGCGCTTTGACTCTGAGCCGAGCAAACTCGAGATACCGCGAGATAGCCCAAATGCAAAGCCCAGATGCAACGTCACAGAGAAGGCTTCATCCAATGGCAAGGCTTGCCATGGCTACGTGCCTCACAGCCATCCGCTGTTTCCTTCCAAACGTGACGGAGAAAATCAGATCGCACCCCATAAGGATGAAACCCGATTTGAACACTACAACTCGGTCCACCAGTAGAGAGGTTAGAAAAAGGGTACCCTTTTTCTGTAGTCTATTTTAGTAGGGGAACCGAATCCCCCCCAAAAAAGAAACGGCAAAAGGGCACTGGGGGACCTAGACAATAAACCTATCACCTGCTGACCATGGCGCTGAGGCCGTTCGATCCGATCGGCGCGAAGAAAGAGACATAGGTCACCAACGTCTCTACCCTTGCCCCGTCATTCCATTTACCGGCGTAGTAACCAAGGGAACTGCCCTTGAAAAAACCAAAAAGGGAAATGCCGGTGTACCTACTACAGTGCTACTACAGCGTGGAATCGCTTGTAGATCATTTCGAAAGGGCAACCACGTGGAAGCAATGGAACACCCATGTCTGGTTAGCCTTTTTTGTTTTAAACGCTTTATCCTTCTAAAACTATATGGCTGTACAGTAAACTATACATCATTGCTAACCCCTTTCTTTTTCCTTTTGTAGTAAAACAATTCACAGTTGCGTGCGCCCCGTTGCCAGTTTGTTCTATCCAAACGTGGGGTGCTCATGTTTGCGGACCGGCTCCCCATAATTGCCGCGCCTTTCGCGGACGCGCTCCGCTGCAGCGGCGAGCATCCTGGCGCGGATAGGGGGTCCCTAAAGCTCCTCGCAAGCCTAAGGAACCCTAGCAAACCCCGAAGGAACCCGAAACAAAAGTGTTTGTAGTGGGTTTAACACTACAAACAGCTGAACGAACCCAAAAGTCTTATTTGTAGCCGGTTAAATGGAAACTATTACACCAACTACATACCTGAAAGCCTAAGGGAATGGCTGGGAACCAAGCATCGGTTGATTTTCAAAGGAGCAACAGCATAAGATTACCCACCCGCCTTGAACCTACCCCCCTTAGGGATTCCATAACTGGTGGTCTTTGTTTAAAAGAACAAAAACTTGAAAAGGGTTCTATACGCCCTGATATCCAACAGCCGCCCGGATCCTCATCCATTTGCTTCGGTTCCCTGGAACAAAACAAACATATTTCCAGTAGTGAAATCAAATCCCTTGAACAGCAACAGGAGACAATTACGCCCAGATGATATCCATCCAGCCCCCGAAATCCCTGGACCACTCCTTTTGAACCTTCCCTGAAATCTGCTCCAAACCGCCCAAGAGCCTATCTGGGCAGAGATACTCCACAGCTTTCAGCCAAGGGGGAATTAACAAACCGCCGACTTAAGGCACAGTTCTCAAGCAAGCAACACCCATAACCCGTTGGCATTTTGTCCTGGGTTGAGGTTTATAGACGCCTTAGCCCTAAAATCCTGCCGGAATCCAAGGCCCGTTCGAAGCAGTTGTCACACTCTTGTAAGGTTTACATGTTTGCGTGCTTAAATTCTATTACCCTCGAACACAAAACCTGGATTTATGTTTCGAGCCAGCATCCAGCCACCTGCATGTTGACCTTCTCATCCATTTGCTTCAGTTCCCCGGAAAAAATAAATGCTTCCAGTAGTAATAGTGTCCCTTGAATGCCAAACCCCAAATTGTGATTTCAAGTTTGTTCCTTGCGTACCTCCGAGCCCGAGTATCCCTTGAATGCCAATTTTCATTGAGCCTCCAAGAAGGGCCAAGTGGCAAGGACGTCATCGGTGAGAAAAAAACACATAGCTCTCTCAGAGGAACCCCCTGCAAATGAGTCATAATCAAAACCCGGTACAGAAATGGTGAACCCAGAACCATGTAAAGGAATAAGAAGGCGGATATCTGCAGCTATTTATGGCTGGGAGTATCCCTTACTAACTTCCATCTACCCGGGTTTTGATTGTGACTCAAATGATTTTAAGAAAAACACACCCCTGTCTTCGGGATTCAAGTCGAATAATTCTGCCCCAAGTCAAGGACCTACATCGGCTCGTTTTTGGACCCCCCCAGAATCCGGCGGGATCGCCGCAAAAACACACGCAGAGAACTGAGAAGGTAGTAGAGAGGTTAGAATAAGCTGGTACCCTTTTCTCTGTAGTCTATCTTTGGGGGAACCATCCACCCCAAAAAGTTGGTCCAGAAACACTACTGGGGGACCTAGACTTTACCCGAACTTCACCCCATCTTTGTCTGAGGCCTTTGGGCTCCCGTCTCGCTTGGATGTTCAATTCGAGTCTTCGTGGTCAGCCAACTTGTGTACCCCCATGACAAGGTTCACCCCACTTCAGGGGACTTACAAGTGGGTAAGTGGGTTACGACCGGTTTTTGTTTGCGCTTTGTGAGGGAAGTGGCAGGTGGCCATGGGTCAAAATCCAAATCGTACCCCCAGTGAACATCCCAATCCAACCACTAAAGTAGACTAAAATGGGTGGTGCCCCTACCCCAAAATGGTACCATTGGTATTGGCCCACAGCCAGGTAACACATTCCTAACTTGGCAAATCGAACCAAGTGCTCTCTTCCATGGATTCGGACACAAAAATCCCGCCGGAGGTTCCCATCGCAGATGGGCGCAATTGCCTGCCGATCGCTGCGCTCGGACAGTCATGCCACCAGCTCGTCGATCGCGCGGCAATGAAATTCAATCTGGGTTCTAAATAGGGGACCTGGACAAGTTAGCTAAGTATCCATCCCCTTTGTGGTTTCCGAAAGGGGCAGCTAAACATGATGAGCAATTTAGCACCCAATGCGTGAAGTTGCACAAAGGACACTTTCAGATGGGAGCTTCCAACAAATAGACGGATCTGTGGGAAAAGGCAAAGCCGACGGGCTCTCTATCTCAAGAAACACGAAGCAAAGTATCAAGGAAAAGTCTGAGGCGTGCAGGCATGCAATGCGCAAAGCTCACTTCGGCCCTGTTGCAAACCGCCTATGACTCTTTAAGGGAAGCTGCTGAGAGGTGCTTAACATTACTTCTGGGCCCGGTTTCTCTTTCAACCACGATTTGCGTGTGTGTGTGTGTGTGTGTGTGTGTGTGTGTGTGTGTGTGTGTGTGTGTGTGTGTGTGTGTGTGTGTGTGTGTGTGTGTGTGTGTGTGTGTGTGTGTGTGTGTGTGTGTGTGTGTGTGTGTGTGTGTGTGTGTGTGTGTGTGTGTGTGTGTGTGTGTGTGTGTGTGTGTGTGTGTGTGTGTGTGTGTGTGTGTGTGTGTGTGTGTGTGTGTGTGTGTGTGTGTGTGTGTGTGTGTGTGTGTGTGTGTGTGTGTGTGTGTGTGTGTGTGTGTGTGTGTGTGTGTGTGTGTGTGTGTGGTGTGTGTGTGTGTGTGTGTGTGTGTGTGTGTGTGTGTGTGTGTGTGTGTGTGTGTGTGTGTGTGTGTGTGTGTGTGTGTGTGTGTGTGTGTGTGTGTGTGTGTGTGTGTGTGTGTGTGTGTGTGTGTGTGTGTGTGTGTGTGTGTGTGTGTGTGTGTGTGTGTGTGTGTGTGTGTGTGTGTGTGTGTGTGTGTGTGTGTGTGTGTGTGTGTGTGTGTGTGTGTGTGTGTGTGTGTGTGTGTGTGTGTGTGTGTGTGTGTGTGTGTGTGTGTGTGTGTGTGTGTGTGTGTGTGTGTGTGTGTGTGTGTGTGTGTGTGTGTGTGTGTGTGTGTGTGTGTGTGTGTGTGTGTGTGTGTGTGTGTGTGTGTGTGTGTGTGTGTGTGTGTGTGTGTGTGTGTGTGTGTGTGTGTGTGTGTGTGTGTGTGTGTGTGTGTGTGTGTGTGTGTGTGTGTGTGTGTGTGTGTGTGTGTGTGTGTGTGTGTGTGTGTGTGTGTGTGTGTGTGTGTGTGTGTGTGTGTGTGTGTGTGTGTGTGTGTGTGTGTGTGTGTGTGTGTGTGTGTGTGTGTGTGTGTGTGTGTGTGTGTGTGTGTGTGTGTGTGTGTGTGTGTGTGTGTGTGTGTGTGTGTGTGTGTGTGTGTGTGTGTGTGTGTGTGTGTGTCCATCCCTGTTGCCAAGGGCTGATCTGAGTTCTTTGTCACACTCGCAAGCTGGAAGTCTTTGCAAATTGTCGAGGTTTATCCATTCCATTTCTTTTCCAAGTATGTGGAGTAGGCCACAGCCATCCTTGGGTCTAGTCTGTGGCCCTGACGAGTAGGGCCCAAGGATGACGAAACTCCACTCAATCAATTAAAGTGCATGTGTGCCCACTGGGCTTGATCCTGACCCTCGCAGAAGAAATGAGACACAACAAGGACCGAGAGAGGGGGGATTTCACAAGTGTGATCCAGGCAGTAGTTCGTTTAACGGGCTGCCTGCGGTAGGATAGCCTACTGTGTTTGATTGAGCCTTGCCATCGGCTCGCGCGCAGCATTGGTCATTCAGTTGACCCTCAGATGTCAGTTTTGACCCTTGAGGTCCCCAGGTCTGTTTGGAACTTGCCTTTGTTCCGCCAAGCTTTGGGAGTCTTCCCACTCAGTTGCCATTTCATGGCTAGTGCTGTGAAGCACAACGGAGACTGCCAGCGATGTCTATCGCCTCAGAAACCAGCATGCCCATTGGGTCTGAGAGGCCGTAATCCCCCCGATGTATTTTTTTGCTGCTGTCTAGGCCGTCGTTGCAATTTGCCATTTAGACCTGCAGCAAACCGTCGGTTTTTCTGGCCCGCGGGTGATTTAAATACCCGGCCGGGGCCCCGGCGTTAGTGGAGCATCTCGGATCTGTTCGTTCTTTTTGTTGTTTTCTTGTTCTTTTTCTTTTTCCTCGCTTTGCGCAAGATCCCTTTGGCCCTTTTGCGATTCTCTTTGCAAGTCGCGGTGACTGCGGCGCGTCTGGCTCTGTACAGGTCACAGGGTTTGGAGCCTTTTCACGTCTTGTTCATTTTAGTTTGGCCCGCGGGCGTTTTACACACCCGGCTGGGGCCAGCGGTGGGATTTGGGTTCTGCGCAGGCTGCAATGTCCATGGCGAAAGTGCCGCGTGGCTGATTGTGTGTGTCCATCCCTGTTGCCAAGGGCTGATCTGAGTTCTTTGTCACACTCGCAAGCTGGAAGTCTTTGCAAATTGTCGAGGTTTCCATTTCTTTTCCAAGTATGTGGAGTAGGCCACAGCCATCCTTGGGTCTAGTCTGTGGCCCTGACGAGTAGGGCCCAAGGATGACGAAACTCCACTCAATCAATTAAAGTGCATGTGTGCCCACTGGGCTTGATCCTGACCCTCGCAGAAGAAATGAGACACAACAAGGACCGAGAGAGGGGGGATTTCACAAGTGTGTGTGTGTGTGTGTGTGTGTGTGTGTGTGTGTGTGTGTGTGTGTGTGTGTGTGTGTGTGTGTGTGTGTGTGTGTGTGTGTGTGTGTGTGTGTGTGTGTGTGTGTGTGTGTGTGTGTGTGTGTGTGTGTGTGTGTGTGTGTGTGTGTGTGTGTGTGTGTGTGTGTGTGTGTGTGTGTGTGTGTGTGTGTGTGTGTGTGTGTGTGTGTGTGTGTGTGTGTGTGTGTGTGTGTGTGTGTGTGTGTGTGTGTGTGTGTGTGTGTGTGTGTGTGTGTGTGTGTGTGTGTGTGTGTGTGTGTGTGTGTGTGTGTGTGTGTGTGTGTGTGTGTGTGTGTGTGTGTGTGTGTGTGTGTGTGTGTGTGTGTGTGTGTGTGTGTGTGTGTGTGTGTGTGTGTGTGTGTGTGTGTGTGTGTGTGTGTGTGTGTGTGTGTGTGTGTGTGTGTGTGTGTGTGTGTGTGTGTGTGTGTGTGTGTGTGTGTGTGTGTGTGTGTGTGTGTGTGTGTGTGTGTGTGTGTGTGTGTGTGTGTGTGTGTGTGTGTGTGTGTGTGTGTGTGTGTGTGTGTGTGTGTGTGTGTGTGTGTGTGTGTGTGTGTGTGTGTGTGTGTGTGTGTGTGTGTGTGTGTGTGCGTGTGTTAGAGGGGACCTTTCACAATGGCGGTGTTCCTTTTGAGTTGCCTTCGAAAAGACCCACCATACCCACCCAGTTTGAGAGTTCTCGTGAGGACGTCGCTTTAAGTTCACTCGGACATGTCCCCAAACTCCTATGTCAGACGCCTTTTGGGAAGAAGAAGGCTTGGGACTCTACAGCTTGGGCTTCCAAATTGAAGCCACCGAACCGGTACTCAACACCTGGGTGAAAGTCCTGCGGTCCAATTCCTGGTGATTTACCATACCCACCTCATATCACAGTGGCGTACCCGACCCAAGTAAGGAAATCACCAAAAAAAGAAACATGGCTGGACAGTCCCTCGCTAACCTTCAGCTGCCTGAATTTTGACTCACTCGTACCAAGGCTGAAGGGTTCTGCGAAGTACGAAGGCGGTCTGAGGACACACAGTTCGGCAAAGTGGATCATCTTTCGTTCTACTTGGGGTTGCTACTCCGCGATTGCCCAATCCCAGTGACCCTAGAAGGGTGTAGTCGACCATTCGGGTGTGTCTCTTTAAGGTTGGACCCCCGCAAATTGGTGGTTTTCTTTTAAAGTCCTCTATTAAAAAAAAAAAAAAACGAGCCACCCATATTTTGTGTAGGGAACCCACCATGCCAAACGAGGGAAAACAAATCAATCACACCACTGGAGGTCCGGACAATATTTTTCGGAGTGCAATTTCTGGGGTCACGTTCCGGGGATAGAACTTTTTTTTGATTCCCCTCTCCACCATGCACACTGTGGATGGGTGCGAAATCCGTTTCGAAACGAAAACCAGTGTTTCTTGGTATTTGCAGGTTCTGAACGGTGGTGCAAGAGTTTGTCCATCCACAGCACGTTGGTGCAACATTCCTTCCATGCGAGTCTTCCAATCACATCCCCGAAAATCCATCTGATAAAATTTGACTGCGGTTGTTTACAAGCCGAATAAACAATTGCCACCCCCCAAAGTCAAGAAGCTCAAGTTCTACTCCCAAACAATTCGGCAGATTCCAATCGCCACAAAACCGAATTCGGGGGCCCGCACGCTCCGATTCCCCCGCCTGCACTGCACCTGCGGGGTGAGCGGCGCCCTCCCGTCCCGGACGCTTCGTGTAGGCGGCGAAGCGCCGCGCGGGGCAAAGGCCACCTTGCGATCGGACCTCGGGAGGTGAGCCGCGGAAGGTGCTATCAAAGGGGTGGGGTTTTTGGGAAAATCCACAGGACATACGCCGAGGAGAAGCTGTTTTCCTGTAGAAAGTACGCTGTAACCCCAGCCTTTGACAGTTGGAACGGGGTGATCAAAGTATACTGACGGCTGGTTCTACCAACATGGGTAGGAAGGTTTGCATACGCCTTGCCATAATCATTGATACACCAGGTGGGACCACCGATTAGAATACGTGGGTTTTGGGCGCTGCTCGTTTAAGTTGGTGAATTCTTTAGGGACGGCATGGGGTATGGCAGTCGCTGGGGACCCCTCTTAAAGGTTGCTCTCCGGCGGAACCCCAACGAAAATGCCATCAATTTTGGATCCGATGCGTCTTTCGTTGAGCCCACAGGAAACCACCCATCCCTAGGCTGGGACCAAATGGATCGGAAGCTGGGAGAGTAGTTCAGTTAACGGCTGCTGGGTGCCTTGGGTTGGGAACTGGATTTGGATTTGAACGGGTCACTGGTTCTTGAAACCAAATGAGAAACCAGCCTCGTTGCACCACACCACGCTCCAAACCACCAATTCGAAGGAAGCTGAAAGGCCCCCAATCCTGAGATTTCCAGTCCCGGGTCGTTTTTCTCCGCTTGGCTTGGAACAAGCCTTCCTCAAGCACGGGGGAAAAAAACACCATGGGACCAAACCCCCTGTTTAAATGGAGCCAAATTGGCTATCGCGCCTTGCCAGGGGAGGTTTCCAGTCGCCAAAAGGCATCGCCGCGATGCTTTCCCGGAGTGAGCGGTTGTTCAACGCGCAGTTCAACTTGTTGCTTCCCGCCTATATATGCGAGCAGGCAGGGAAAAAGACCCAAGGTTCACGTTCCAACATATAAATCTGGGGAGGTTTCACAGACACATCTCCCATTGTTCCAACCCCAGTGTTTGATCCAAAGAGCGAACGGTCCCCTTCTAAACCCATACTAGAGAACTTGAATCTGGGTTCCTCTTCTTCTTCAGCACCAGACCTGGTGGCCCATGCATCCTTGATCGTCAACTGCTTCTTCGGGTGTACGGCCGAACTCTGAAAAAACCGGTTCGGTTGGTAGCACTTTGGTGCTTCGAAGGCCAGGTCGGAGCCTCAAATCCCGTCCGAAATTTCCGGGCCCTGAACCAGGGCCCCGGAGACTTGCGGGCGCTCAGGCAGGATGGTTTATAGGGCTCATTCCCTTGTTCCCTGAGCACCAAAAAAAAAAAACAGATGTGGCAAAAGCCGCAACTTGGAAAGCACCAAAACAAAAAAAGCTGATGTGGGAAAAGCCGCAACTTGGAATCAACATTTGGCTGTGGGTCAAAAACCAATGGGATCCCATTTTGGGGCAGGTGCACCAACCATTTTAGTTGAGATGTTAGTGGGGATTGGGATGCTCACTGGGGGTCCGATTTGGATTTTGACCCATGGCCATTATGCCGAACCCTACAAACCGCTACGGGGTAATTACCTAACTATAAGACGTGAAGCTTCTGGGGATCCGGCGCCGGACATGTCTTTTGGACCTCCGGCGCACATTGACCTCGCAGGCCCTCGTGTTGCGACCTCGGGCTGGGACTTTTGGAAGCTCCGCACCCAGAAAAAAGAAGAAGAAGAAAGGAGAAAGAAAAACACACAGCACCCACTTGACAAGTAACAATCAACAGGTAGAGTCCTACCACGGAAATGATGTTTCCAACTGTGCGGCTATTTTTGCATCGGCTTCTCCTTATCTGGTGGCGAGCCCGGTGGTTTGGAGCTGCGGGGTGGGTTCCCATTTGCCCTCACCAAGGCTTCAAATCCCAAACCAATCCCTAGGGGGTTACCTGCAAGCACTTGGCTCGGAGCATGGGATTCCGAGGACATGAGTATTCAAAGAACCCTTCCACATGCAAACAGTCCTGCCTTGGCTTGCACTGCCCCCTTGCTTTCATTATTTCCCACGGATCAATTGTGGCTCAGTGCACTAAGGACCACAAGAGCTTCCGTCGACTCGCAATTGGCCAGCTGCAGCTCCCTGGTCGCTCCAGAGAAAGGCAAAAGGGCAGCTGTGGCAGCCGGCAGCACACCGCTGGTTCCGCTCAAGACTGATGAAGCCTTGTTTGCGATTCCTTTTTCACCAGCGTCTCCTTGTCCAGACCGGGAGAAGGATGTCTGCTTTTCAGCTCTCCAATGAGCTGATCTCCGTGGGTTGCAGGGTCCCATCGACCACGCTCTGCAACTGCCGTGCCACGCCTGTAAGGAGGTTTGTGCGCTTTTGTTGGATTGCAACCTTCTTTTGGATCAGAAAGGCCCAGCGTGCAAAACCCACCTTGTTGCCATGCTTTTTTGTTTTCTGGCCACCCCCAAACTCCCCAAACCGTCGTACTGCTCCGAGACTCGGGTTCCTTCGTTTTCCTTCGTTTTTGCCCTCGACTGGATCTCGGCCAAGCGCCACTCGCAAATCGGAAAGACGGACACCACCAGAAACCGCTCGTTGTGCCTGGTGGATCTCAGGCCGAGTCTGCACCCATGGCTTCTAAGCTTAGCATACTCAAGCAACAGCTCCCGTTCTCTTGGAGACAGTTTGGGGACTTTGGGGGTGGCCAGAAAACAAAAAGCATGGCAACGTGGGGTTTTGCGCGCTGGGCCTTTCTGATCCAAAAGGAGGTTGCAATCCAAAGAGCACAAACCTCCTTACAGGCGTGGCATCCAGACATGGGGAGTCATTACCTACCAATTGCTCGCTACCAAACCTGGTCCCAATTCTGGAGTACGCCACAAAACAACACGTGCAGATTCTCTGCATACTTTTGTCATTCTTGACAAATACGATATTCAGATGTGTTCTGGGCATAGGCGGCCTTTGGACAAGCAGATGGCCCTGGTAATGTTGACCCCTATTAATCAACCCCAGTTTATTAAGAGGGGGTGTTCCGCACCAAAAGTGAACAATCCCCACCAAAACCAGGGACACCCCCATATTAATAAACAGGGGTTTATTATTAGAGTGTGTTCACTGAATGGCATGAACCAGTGGAACCCATCTATGTTTAATCAAACCAAGGCCGCCCATGGCTCTGAGGAGATCTGTGCCCTGGGCAGCAGCAGAGTTTCGTTCACCGCGGACACCACCTTCTCCAGGCTGTCCTGACAATTTTCGAGCTCGCGATTGCTGGGAAGGCCTCATGGCTAGATGGTCCTTGCCCAAGTGCGGAAGTAGACTAGAATCATGGGTAATGTACTTATACATGTATATAGATATGTATATACATATATATACATATGTACTTATATATGTGTATAGTAGTTGTTGTTTATATATGAGACCAAGTAAGCAGTCATCGTGTATACATCATGATGCTCCGCTTCATTGCCGTTTGTTGGGCGCAGTGGAAACCCATGGTCAACCCTAGTAAGCAGATTCTCATCAGGGTCATTGATTATTAACATGGGACAACAAGAGTGTTTGGACATATCAGCCATGGTCAAACCTCCTTACATGACCTACTGTGGATCGACGGATTCCATTTCGCACCACCTAAGAAACCCTGGAATGATTCGATTCCCCGGTAAATATCAACAAGCAATGGTTTCGCACGGTTCATCTCGTGGTGCGAAATGGATTTCGTCCATCCACTGGTCCTGGTTCCTGTAACAGAAATCATTATCCAGGTCCTCCTGTAGAGAGAATAGAATAAGGGTACCCTTTTTTCTGTAGCCTATTTTAGTAGGGGAACCCTCCCCCAAAAAAGGGGAACAGGGCATTACTGGGGCACCTCTAATGGTAGGACCCAGGTACCATCCCCGTAAACCCGAAGAAGAGGATCCGGTGTTTAACGACCATGGCACGATTTCAGTATGGCTACAACCGACTTCTTGGGCAAGGAACACCCAAGGCCTGGGCAAGCTCTAGCCATCCTGACTCCAAATCCAAAGGAATCCCTGTGATGATTTTTCTTCGGGGACCCCCGAAAATTGTAGTTCTCCTTTTGGATTCCCTTTAAACAACCAAAGAAAGGGCCACCAAATCCAAACAAAGTCAGAGCCAAACTGGCTCAAAGGGCAGCTGGTATAAGACTTTTGCAACAAATCGGGTTTGCTCCGAACCCCCGTGGCGCCCTGCAGAAAATGGACATGTTAAAATGGGACCCAGACTTGCTGGTTCGGTAAGCAGGGAATGAGAAATGGAACCGAGAAAAACCATCCTCGGTTTGGTGTCCCTTGTACAGGAATCCCCAAATGGGTCATTCCCAACACCCAGAGCCGGTCATTCCCTATCGCACCAGCAAGCAAAGGAAGCCGTTGAATCATGAGTCGAGATTCCACCCCCCAGGCGTCCTTTTAGGTTGGAAATAGATGGATTTCCCTGGTAGATGATTCAACCACCAGGTAAACAGGGAATCGAAACCCCTCGATTTTTCGAGCAAAACAACCAAAAAGGACACCTATGCCCCATCCACCTGTCAGGTGCCATAGTGGGAGGGAGGGCACCTGCCTTCAGCGTGGCAGCAACGAACTCACCTCACCACACGACTGAGGTCGCACGCGCAAGTCGGCGACTGAAAAATGAAAGCCGCATGAAAAATCGATCATTTGGTATGCTGCTTACCCCACCTGCTTATTTAACCCAAGGGTCGCTGGCTTCCTTTTGGTCGCTCCCTTAAATTCTGGGGAATGAAAACATGAAAACCACATGAAAACTCGATCGTTTGGTTGCCGCGTGCTGCTTACCCCAGCTTATTTAACCTCGAACGACCAAGCACGCAACCGAGTGACTCTTCGCTAAACGGTCCACAGAAGCGGTGACTCGAATTGAGGCCGACGGAGTATTTGCATTGAACCTCAAGTAACTTTTGGGTTCAACAGGTTTGCACGTAGGCCCAAGCAAACAGCATCCATGAAAGCCATGGACAAAATGAATTCCCCTGAAACATGGGGAAAGATGGGGAAAGTTGGGTTCGGGCCATGTGCCTATGATTTGAGAAGAGAATTTGGGTGGTCTCTTCATGTCACTTCCCCCAAGAGTAGATGACCAGTGAGTTGCGCGCCTAGGGAGGGCTGGCTCGGAGCTTGAACCCCGCGAAAATCGAGTAGAAAGCCCAGAAACTTCCGAAGGCTACTACAACTCTTTCGCGTTCCGCCTTGGACATGCTCCATAGGCGTCCTTGGCAAAACCAGTCGAAACCAGTGGAACCCTTTGTCTAACCAAACCCGCCTCAGCACACCTATGCTTCTCTTCAGATGCCCCATGAAAAAGCCAAACCAAAGGAAAATCAAAGGAAAACCACCCTGGGTCCACGCCCCGTTTTCTTCATGCTCTTGCGTTTCTCAGAGCTTCAGCCTGGGCCAAGGGACAACCACCGCCTGAGCTTCCGGCGGCCTTCCTCAGGAACCGTCGCCTACCGTGGGCTTCACGGAGCCCGGGGAAAAAAACCCACTGAAAAAAACGCCTTGTCGGGGAGACGTCTTTTGACGACAACCATTTTGGGCTTTTCTGCTGGTTGCCACTTGAAACCCAGCAAAAAGGGGCTCCCTTAGATAAAAACCCAGCAAAAAGGGACTCCACTTACCTTCTCAAAACCAGACACACAAAAACCTGTTAGGTTTAAAGGGAAACCAAAAGGTTTTACTCACCATTTTAGTTGGAGGGGGCCCTGTTTTAAGACACACCCAATGGAACCGAAACTTTGGCAGTTTTGCTTAAACGCGCCAAAGATTGACATGGGGCTTAGGTCCGGCCAATTTTGAGCGCCTTCCCCACATAAAATGCATTTGCGTGTGTCTTGTTTGGGGGACTCCAAAATGGAACGGTGTTCCTTCTGGTGTACCTTTAAACACACCCAAAAAAAAGTCCCCCCCAAAAAGAAAAAGAAAAGGACAGACCTAATTGGCACATGGCAATAAAAGCCAAAGTTGGGGAGCTACAAGCGTGCGGAGAGGTAGTCCAACCCAAAGTAACCAGGGCCCTCCAAAATTGTTGGCTTCCTTTCATTTCCCTTTGCACCCTGCAAAACAGATCCCCCCCACGCCAAAAGAGCACGTGTTCAAGTTTGCTTCGGTTGCCATTGCTGCTTAGCATGGCGGTCTCTGGGGATTCTTTCCAAAACTTTGCGTAGTTGCCGATTGGCTTACCTTTACCACAACCCCTGTTTAATACTCAAACATAAGTTGGATCCCATGTAATGTTCAATTGTTTCCAACATAGGTGTATGTCAAAATAGGGGGACCCCGTTGCTTCCTTTTTAAACCAACCCCATAAGGCCGCCCTCCAAAACAAACACAAAAAGAAGACACAAACACAAACGCAAAACACACACACACAAAACAAATCTTCCGTCGGGCCCAAATATCAAGCCGGCTTCCTTGTGCCCCCCAAACCCCCCCGCAATCCGCCCCGCCTGAGCAGAGCCACACGCGCGCGTGAGCACGCGCGCCTGACCGGCCAGACTGGCCTAGGGTGCTGTGGTTCAAATGAAGGTACCCAAAATATGGCCCTTGGTAAAGTGGAAACAAAGACTACAAGCTGCTTAACCCTCCCAGTGAAAAATTGCACGACACCCAAAAGACACAAGGCTAGAGATGGGCGAGTAGCAAACAAAATCTAATTGGAGGAGATATCGGAGACGTGCGCCTCTGTTGAACCGCAAGGCGCGCAAGGTCCCTTTTTGGTTTGTCGAAACGAGTCGAACTGCAAGTAATCCAATTTTCCGTGGCACAAAGGTACAGCTAGAAGAAGCCCTGAATAAGAACACAAGTTTGAAGCTCAACCATTTTTGTTCCTTCACATCCTCCTGAAGGGTCTCCCATTGAAGCAAGTTCCCCAGATATCACTGCACAAAAACAGGGGTTTTCAGAATTTAAACGCCCAGCATATTTGGTTTCACACCAACCCCGGGACAAATATAGCAAACCGTATTCAGCGCCAGCCGGGCTCGTGTAAGTCTCTCCACAGCTCTCTGCCCATGCCAGCAAAGCAGGCCAGAACGTAGCAGGCCCCACTTTTCGCGCGTAATCTATCGTCCCAATTCAGCGCGGACATCCTCTGCAGCAACTCAAAGAATACTTCGAGGAGTCCACTGCGTTGTTCCGGTGTGATCGCAGAAATGTGTTCCCCGCGGTGTGCAAAATAATTCGACACTTCCAGATGCGCCGCCTGGAGGGATGCCAGTGCCTCGAACCATTTCTGGTAGGTTGCATGTTGGACAGATTTAGTTTTGAGGCTGTTCCAAGGATAAACAACATCCGTTTGGGCGTCGCTGCTTGGAGGGGAATCCCTCTATCCACGACGACTACATGTCATCTCTGCTGAATTTTCGGCCATGTGCGGACACGCACACAGGGGCCCGGTCCTTTGGCAGAGCCGATCATGGCCATGTTCACCCGTCTAAACATGCCACTGCTGTTTACACATCCCTCCTTTCAAGGTTTCCCTTCAAAAGGCCTTGAAAGCCAATGGAGCGTTGAGGAAAACAGCCCTGAAAGTCCAAAACCGTGTCCAGGAATTCTGGGAATGAAAAGGGGTCCTCAAACAACCCGGTGAGAAGGGCGACCCTCCACTGGCCTCATGTTGCCACCATCAAAGTCACAGGTTAAAGTGAAACAGCCCCAGTTTCTCCTCAGAAAAAAAAAAACAAGATGCAAAACAAATGTGATTGGAGAACAAGGATATGTGTGTAAATGAGGATTCCATCAGGAACGCAACACAAATGGAACAATAGACGTACAATTTGGATCGCTTGTGGGTGAGTTTCGGGGTCTTCTGTCTGTACTATCTGTTTCTTTCAATTTGCACCAAAATGTAGCGTTAACTCCAGTTGATGGAAAGGGGGTGGTTATAGCCTATTCGTTCAGTGGGTTGAGCATCCAAGCAATATATGGGGCTGAATAATTACAATGAATTTGAGGGGTACTTTGAAACCAAATTATGTCATGAATGTGTATATATATATATATACATATATACATATTAATGTGAATGTGTAGAAACAACAGTACATAATTTATCAGGAATCTAACTGCGTGCGTTGAGGAAACTAAACCCAAAACTGGAAGATCCGGGATCCCCAAGTACAGGGCTATCAAAATGAGCTCGACATTCTGAATAGGCGAGAAGGAGTCATTTAGCGCCAATAGTGAAGCGCCTGCGAGTGTGTATTCAAACAGAGGGCACCCAAAATTGGCTGTGGTCCTTGTGTTTCCCTTCAAACCAACTTTAATAAGGTACCCTGAAAGAATCACAAACCCAAATCTAGCTTTGCAAACACTCCAACTACGTGGGGGTGCATTGCAGCACAAGCGTGACACATGAGCGCGCTGCCAAACAGAAAACTGCAAACAAACATTGGTGTTTCTTGAAACCAACCTTTATGTTGAACCCACTTGGGTGTGTCTTTGTTAGGGAACCCTGCACACTGGCTCGGGGTTTTCCGTTTAGCTGCCCGTTCAAAAATACGAAATATTCTTAGGCAAATGAAAGTAAGCCCCCTGAATTGTGGCTTGGTTCGGTGGTTTGGACGTTCAGGGCTACCTTCCAGTTAGCTTCAAAAGGCACTGGATATCAAGTCCAAATCCAAACCCTGGCCTCCAAACCAAGAAGGAAGCCAGCTAGCCCTATCTCAGCTTCCGTCCAATTGGTGGCTTGGTGGTTAGGGCGGGGCGGCTTGCGCCATGTGCGCGCCACAAAAGCCAGGGCTTCACATCCCGAATTTTCGGGGTTTCCTGACTATGAGCCGTCGCGTACATCGCGCCTCGAACTCCTCGAGCCGTGCCAGGCTCTTGTGAAGCTTCGCCTCGACATGTCCGCACCGCGCCTGGGTGAGGTGTGGGCGGGGCAAGTGCGCTTTCAAAATAACCAAGCAACCAACCAACCAAAGAACGAACAAAAACAAACGAACAAACACAAGCAAGCAAGCAAGCAAGCAAGCAAGCAAGCAAGCAAGCAAGCAAGCAAGCAAGCAAGCAAGCAAGCAAGCAAGCAAGCAAGCAAGCAAGCAAGCAAGCAAGCAAGCAAGCAAGCAAGCAAGCAAGCAAGCAAGCAAGCAAGCAAGCAAGCAAGCAAGCAAGCAAGCAAGCAAGCAAGCAAGCAAGCAAGCAAGCAAGCAAGCAAGCAAGCAAGCAAGCAAGCAAGCAAGCAAGCAAGCAAGCAAGCAAGCAAGCAAGCAAGCAAGCAAGCAAGCAAGCAAGCAAGCAAGCAAGCAACATCAAGCAAGCAACATCAAACAACCAAACAACCAAACAAGCAAAAACAAACAAAAGCAACCAAAGGCAAACAAACAAACAAACAAACAAACAAACAAACAAACAAACAAACAAACAAACAAACAAACAAACACGCAAACAAACAAAAGCAACACAAATACAAACAACACAATATAAAAGTAAACAAACAAATAAACAAACAAACAAACAAACAAGGGCCTAAATAAGGTGCCCTTTTTCCAACAATCATGGAACAAGGGTCTTCTTTGAAGATAATGCTTGTCCTTTAATTGGCTTCAAAAGGCATGTGCACTTCTGCACATCACTTTGCGGTTGTCAATGTGAGCTTCCAGAGGCATGTGCACAGGTCAAATATCATGGGGGCTGGCAGGGAAAGCCCTGAATAACGCTAGTAAGGGCTGAATAATGGCTTATTTGGGTTCCCTACCCCCTCCCCCCCTCCCCCACAAACCTGAAAGAAGATATTCTCTTTCATTGACTAGGTCCTCCAGTAAAGAGGTTAGAATAAGGGTACCCATTTTTCTGTAGTCTATTTTAGCCCCAAAAAGGGGGTGAGAAAGGGCACCTAGCTGGGGGACCTAGTTGAAGAGAGGGAAGACTGCGCCTCCACCGAAGAGCACCGGAACATCACCTCTTTCAGCACGTCGGCCCTCCTTGGGTGGCACCAAAGCCATGGTCCGTGGTACAACTTCCCGTCAGAAATATGCACCATGGTCCAAACGAATTGGCTGGGGGTCAGAAACAGGTACCCAAAATGGGTTGCCTTGACAAATGGCACCAAGGACCAAAAAGTGCGGTCCAATTCCTGGCGGTTTGTCATTGACCCATACCCAAGTGGGCAAAGCGAAAACTTCGGAGAGAAACTCTTGCCCTAGTTCTCTACCACTTGGTGTGCGTTGCCAAGTTAAGTTATTGATATCCCACTTTTAAGTCCCCCAGAGTGTGGTTCACCTTGTTATGATGGGGTGATACCCCAAGTGGCTGACCGCTTTCCAACTTGGCGAATCGAACATCCGAGCACTAAAGTCTTCATCGCCATCCCTGCGGTTTAGGGTTGGAGGTCCTGATGTTATTTTCAAACATGAATAACATCACATATACCAAATGAGTTGCTTAGCATCTGAAAAACATGCTTCCTTGGACCTTTTGGAGCCCAAACCAAGGAACCTCGTTTCCCCCCAGTAGCAAAATGGATGGCAATGGATGGATAGAAGCACACTGAAATACACGGGTACCGCCGTTAACCGGGTTCGCCGTTGAACCCCCAAACGTTCGGGGGACAAGGGGCACCCCCACCCCCATCTATCTGCCGGTGAAGGCAAAATAGCCAACGCAAGGAGCAAGCGATCGCGAAGTGGACCTTCATCATACTTGGATGTGCAATTCACCATTTATTGCCATACTGTGGATGGAGGAACCCCTGCACCACTTTAAACCATGGGAGACCATTGTTTGTTGATATTTGCAGGGGGAAATCGAATCATTCCAGGGTGTCTGAGTCGTGAAGCGAAATGGATCTCGTCCATGCACAGTAGCTATATGAGTGTCGTTGCAAGCTCGGCACGTCTGGCTGGTTCTCAGCGGGGAAGATTTTTCATTCCCTGCAGAGAAGCAGCAAGTGAACCGGCTTCCTCTCTCCGACTGATAACCATGCTTTTTGTAATCCAAGCTACAAACAGCGCAGACTCTCCCAATTGAGAGATGCTTGTAACCCGAAGCAGAACTTGCATTCGGGTGTGGCTCAAGGGCGTAATTTGTCCTGGGAACTTGACATGTAGGCTAAAACAAGTGATCCCCAATTTGAGCCACAGCCACTTGACTGTGGGTCAAAAGTAGGGTAACCCCAAAATGGGTTGCCCTGGCAAATGGCGGTCCCCTGGTTCAATTTTGAGCCACATCCACTTCTTTCTCTCAAAAGTCAAGAGCTAGTCAAGAGCTAGGGTTACGCAGGTTTTAGCCTTTGGCCCCATTTACCAAGCTGCCACTTTGGTACCTTTATCACTTTACCTAAGCCACACAGCCGCTTCTTTCTCCGTCGAACGCTAAGCGTCAGCTCCGCGCTGAGCAGGCGCAGCACTTCCGCGGGCAGCTCGCCCTGCTTGGCGTCCTCAGGGTTAAGGTTGACCCAGGATGGATCCCTAAAAAAACAAAAAAGGGCTCCTTTTGATATATATATATATATGTATATATATGGTCACCCCCCCCCAGGGCCTACCTTTGCCCTCTTCTAGTTGAAGGTGTCAACTCTACTTTGTGTGCCTCTTTCTTGCAGATGCCTGAAAACACTGTAACATACAGTGTTTTTGTTGTTTTTTACCTTCTATGTGACAGCAAATGTCTGATTATTTGAGGCTTGAAAGGCAGCAAAGCGAAAACGGATTCCGTTTTCAGATTCGAGCCTGGCTTTGATAGAAAACATGTTGTTTTTGGCAGCTTTGAGCTCTGCAACCTGCACAGACCCAAAAGCACAAAATCTCCTGAAAATGAAAGCTCTGAGACCTGCACATGCCAAACACATCTCCAGACCAAGTTTGGGAGTCTGGGGATATGTGCCCTTTATTTGTTTAGCCACATTTAAGCTAAATCATATTTGGGAATGAGTTACTATTAAAATTTGACTGCAAAGGCCAAGTGATTTCTTTCCAGAATAAGCTATCTTCCAATTCAAGCTGTATTTGGGGATGGATCCTTGATTAAATTATTATGTTCAAAACCTAATTGAACTCTGTCTGCATTAAAGTATATTTGGATTCTACTGCAATCATATTTTCCTTGTTTGGAAAGGTATTCCTGTTCAAATTCTGATCTAATATAGACATTATGGTGAATTATGAATGGTGGTGAACTATGTGCTTACTAAATTCTATTCAATATGCAAATTCAATTCGGATCAAAATCGTATTTGGAAAGGAATGTGTACTTGGATATGTTGGACTCCAGGCTCCAAATTATGAGGCTTGGAGGAGAATCCAACATTTTCCAGATTCTAGGTTTCAGGTGTTTCAAATTGGACATTTCAAGGGATTAGAGATCCAACAAAATGCTGTAAAACACAGTGTTTTGCAGCAGTTGCTCAGATTGTGTTCCCTTGGACCGAATGGACAGCCTTTGATATAACAGTGCAGCAGTGATGACACACCCACACACAATCATCAACCTTTTAGGACCACGCCCAAACCACATCAAACCAGGCCTCAAATGAGTGTCCTTTTTTTCCCCAAACAACAGTCTCCACTTGCTACGCAATAAGCCTACAGAAGGTTTATAAACTTTCAGGAAAGTTTATAAACCTTATTGAGTGTTTGACGAGTTTCCCGCATCAAGGCAACAACACCCTACGAAGTGTTCATGGTATCGTTGAAGGAGGGGGGGGGGGTGGTTGGAAATTTTGGGAGGGGGGGGGGGGGTGGTTGGTTGGAAGTCTTAGCAGTGAGGTGTGACTCAGCCAACTTTGTAAAGACTTCTCAGTACCCCCCCCCTCCCCCCCCGTAAAGAGTTCTGACCCCCCCCTGCCCTTGTTGCAGGGAAACCGTCAAACCCTTGACATGGTTTATAAACTGTCTTGTAAGTTTATAAACTCTTTGCTGTTGTTACTCAACATGACTTGTCACCCACAAAAAATATGCAGCAACAGCACACTTCTTGCGTATATATGCTCACACGCCCTGTCTTTTAAAATAAGAGGGTTTTGTACATTTTGAAGTGCAAAGGTAGGCCCTGGGGGGGGGGGGGGTGAGCATATATATATATATATATATCCTTCCCAAAAAAGAAGAAGAAGAAGAAAGTGGTTTTCCGTAACTAGGTCCTCCAATAGAGAGATTAGAATACAGTTAGTAGAGAGGTTAGAATAACAGGGATCCTTACATTGTACACCTGAACATTGCCTTGTACATGGTGGTTTCCCTGTATTTTGCTGGAAAAAACCATGTTGCAACATTAACTAGGTCTTCCAGATTTGAATTTCAGGAACCCCCCCTCCCCACCCACAGACTAGCAAGAAGAAACTTCCAGACCTTCAGGTTTCTCAAATGAAGCAAGTAAGCTAAGTCCGCCAACCGACTCTAGGTCCTCCAGTAGAGAGGTTAGAATAAGGGTACCCGATTTTTGTTTCAGGACGTCTATTTTAGTAGGGAACCCTCCGCCAAAAGAAGGGTAAAAGGGCACTACTGAAAAATCTAGTTAATAAACCCGTCCGATTATTTGGGGGTGTTCCCTCCAAAAGTGGTCCGAATCCCCACTAAAAGGGGACACCCCCTATTAATCAACCAGGGGTTTATTAATCCGGGGTTAACATTATGCAGAAATCAAACGAGGCGACCTGACGAATCAAAACTCGCACCAACTACAACCCTTCGGAGTTCATGTGGTTTCTCACAGCGTCGGGTCACCCATGTCAAACTCAAGTGGAAGAAAAACTGGCACAATCTGAACTTCAGTCTCACGGAAGAAGTAAAATAGCCTGAAGAGCAGTGGCATTAAGATCACCGGAGCTCCCACTCGTGCTACGCTTCCTACGTCATTTCACAAAGTCGGACTAGAGTCTAGTCTGACTCTCCCCCCCACCTCCTCCGCAAAATCCGCACTCCGGAATTCACTGGTGTTTACAATACTTGCAGCTACAGGGCCAGCACAAACAAGTATTTAGGTACGTGGAGGTGTCCAATAATTTGGGACCCTTTTGGCGCTGAAAGGGAACTGAAAAGCACAAAGTTCTTTATTGTGTGTCTGTTTTCGGGGAGGACGGCTTTTGGATTGAAAGTGAAACCAAAAGGCACCCACGTTCGCCCCAAAAAGAGGCACCCTCAGGACCCCAACGGCAATTAAAGGCGAGCAACCTTCCGACATCGGATTCCATTCCGCGTACCAAATAGGATTGTCGGAGCAAATGCGTCGCGTTATTTTCTTGTTCAGAGGGGTCGAAACCCACAACGGTGGGACTAAACCCTCAAACCTGGTTCACCTTTTTGGAGTGCTGGTCTCTTCCCTTTTGCCTTTCCAACCCCCTCAAAAGCCGTGGGTATTCTGAAGAAACAAAAAATCCCATATGCAGTTCTACTGCCCTGATGTCAGAGAAGTGAGCTTGTTTTAAGCTCGGCACAGACTTCTCTGCCAAGGACGAGGTCGATTGCCTTGGATGAAGCGATGCGGCCGCGCATGCTGGTCCATACCCTTTGGCCCCATCCGGAATACATACTGTCATACTGGATGGAAAAAATATGCTTCTTACCAGGTGGTAAGTGGTTCATCCCAGTCTTCATAGTGTTTCGTCCATCCCAAGTGGTGCAGGATGTTGTCCATCCACAGTAGAAGCCAGCTGGGAATTCCGCAAAAAATCGCCAAATACCTCATTACACATTGTTGATTTCCTCGTGATGATGCTTCACTTGGGAGTGTATTCTTGTTGAGGGTACCCCTTTTTGGGATGATTTTAAGTGGAAACCAACAGGGGAAAAAAAAAAACGCCTGGCCAGTTTGGGGCGGGGGCCCGGGCCCAAAGAAGAAGACGCACCAACCAAAACAGATGTTCCCTGACTGGTTTGGCCTTAAAAGTATTTTGCCAAGTTGCAACCTTGGCTCATTTGGTTCTAAAGCTCCCCCCCCCTTCCCTTAAAGAGGAAACCCTAAACCCTAAACCCTAAACCCAGAGTTCTCAAAATCATTTTTTGTTTCAACTAGGCCCTACTGACTTTCAATAGGCCCTCTAGGTCCTCCAGTAGTTTGAGGTTAGACTACCCGATATTTTTTTTTCAGGTCGTCTATTTTACTAGAAAAAACCCTCCCCCCCAAAAACGAAAGGGGTGAGAAAGGTTGCACCTGGGACCCAGCCCTATCAGTTCATAGCACACCCCCGAATGCGCCCGGGCGCGGGCTCCGGGTGGAGCAGGCATCGCTGACTTCAAGCGACGCCAGGCGCCTGTCCTCGAGGCGAGGACGTGTCGACGTGGGGTGCGGTTTTTACGGAAACGTAGAAGGGGTCGCCTCAGATGACCGGTGGATTTGCGTGGGAGAAAAGGGGGCATCCTTTTTTGGTTGAGTTTCAAGGGGGGTTCTCACATGCCCAGTGGATTTCCATGGGGAAAGAAAGGGCCTAAAATTTGGTTGGTTGAGTTTAATCGGAACCCTTCACAAGAAAAAAAAATAAGCAAGGGCGCCACTGGGCAACTGGGGGTCGCTGGATCTCCCCCTCAAACGTTGCAATTCACCGGTGGTGTCCCTTGAAACCATCGCCACGTTTCAAAACTTCCCGAAGGCCGGAACCCCCCCCCCCCCACCCACAGACCGGCAAGAAGAAACTTCCAAACCTGCATGGAGCTCAAATGAAACAGGGAAGCTAAATCCGCCAACAGACTTCTTCTCATTGGAGAGAATGAGGCTTTCGCAATTTTAGCAAGTTGCCACCCTAGAAACATGAGCTATTTCCAAAACTACAAGGTGCAAACATAGAATATCTCTGGAGGCTTCGGTTTGAAGGGTCGCCTGCGTTTTGCAGGAGGTTTCGGACTATTCCACACGAAGGTGTCCCATGGGGAAATAGCGTGCGCAACCGGGTTTCGGGCCGTTGGCACGGACGAGCAAAAGACGACAGGTACCAGTGATGGTGGCAGTTGCTGACATGGGGATGTGTGACAACCAATGATTTTGGAGGGTGTGGGTGGAAGATCTCGGTGAAAACTGCCCCAAGCAGAGAGGATCCACACCAGCTTGAGGGAAAGACGGAGTTGCTGGGGCTAGGGCTGCGTTGGCTTTGGGTGGCCTTTTTCATGGGATCCGTTTTGTGTCGGGGTTCCCCTCCAGTTCGACCTTGGCGAGACCCACAGATTCCCACGAGTCCCAAGCGCGAGACCGCCAACTTTTCACGTCGGAAAAAAGTCGTCCCTCCGGGCCTGCCAGGCTCAAGGCTCCTCCAGATTTGAGAGGTTAGTTTTCACGGGCGCCCGATCTTTTTTTTCTGCAGTCAATTTTAGTAGGAGAACCCTCCCCGAAAGACAGTGGGTCAAAGGGCACTGGGAGGCCTAGTGGGTTTTCAGTCCTCCCCACAACTCGCACCGATCCGTTCCGTGCCTTGGCCATGTCTTCCACGAGTCGGTTCACCTCCACACGATTTTTTACAGCGCTCCGATGTTTGAGAAATTTGTGCTTGGCCCCAGGACAAAAGAAACCGAAGGAAACTAAACGAAACCGAAGGAAACCATAGGAAACCAAAGGAAACCAACCCTGTTGTTTAGGAACGGCAAAGAGTAACCACATTCCTCCCGTGCATCTTGAGAATGCTGGCACGTTGCCTTGAAGAGAATGGGAGTCAAGAAGCTAGACAATCCCCACAAAAAGCTACATTTTCCTAAATAACCGTGGAGACTGCAAATAAAGAAAGCTCCAGGGTGACTTCGATCATTCGTTCCAGGGACCCTGCTTCCAGCTCTTTCTAGGGATCATCTTTCCAACTGCCAAGCACCCGTCTATTTCTAAGCAAACTCACCGATCCAAAGGACACCTATGGCAAGCACCAATTCGAGAACAGCTCTTCCAAGCCCAGAAGCCTCTGCATGGCTGGCGTGTCTGGCCTGTCTCTGAACCTAGCCACTTTTCGTTTGGCCCGCCTCCCTCCCCGTATTTCGTGGCAAAACTTGAGGGAGATCCGCAGGTCTTCTCAGGGAATCGCCCTGGGGAGTGATCCATCCAGAAACAAATGGCTACCTGCATGTTGTCAAACAGAAAGCCTCAGGTGAGTCATCATCAAAACCGATCGCTGCTAAAATGGTCGTAATCCCAGAACCATGATTCAAGAATTAAGAAAGCGGCCGCAGCTATTTGTGGTTGGGACTGTCCCTCACTAACCTTCATCTACCCAGGTTTTGATTGTGGCTCAGGTAGCTTCGTCGCAACCTGCTTCCGGAACACGAACCGCTTCTTCCTAACGCGCGGAACATCCATAACCAACCTACAAACTAAACCTGCAACGTGCCGTGGCATAAGCCAAAACGCCCCAGGAACAAATACAACAGCGGCAAAAGAGAGAAACAACACCCGCCCAAAGGCAAACACAACAACATCCCCCCCCCCCCGCCTCCCCAACAAAAGAAACACAAAACAATGGGTGGGTGTTGGCCAACAAACCCAGACAAGGTTCCCTATATGACCCTTGAAACATCACCCTATTTGAAACTCATGAAAACGATGGAATCCCAAGAGGTAATGCTTAAAACCACACGTAGTCCTTTTGGTTTAAAATAAATAGTCCTGGTAAATGGGGCATAGGGCCAATCCAAACCACTAAACTAACCTGAAAAAGGACACCTATGGCACAGCCATCTTTAAAAACCACAAGCGGATCTTCCTAGGGACCCCCCTCCCAATTGGTGGTTTCATGTTGGTGTCCCTTTCAAATCACCAAGCAAGAAGGTACCAATTCCAAAAAACGACTGGCCACCCATAGAGCGAAGCCACTTGAGTCACAGGCGATGTCACTGGTTCCAACGATGCCACTTTTTGCAGGTCCACAAAAAGAAAGGAAGCTTCACATCCGATCGAGTGGATCAGTCGAAGGCAACCAAACTTTCCCAGAGGGTCCCTGGAGGTTCCTCCTGAGGATGGCTTTTGGCGGGTAAAAAGGGGTCGTTCAGTACCTGCTTAGAAGGTACCAAGGGACCCTCTGGGTTTTGGTTTAAAATGCTCCAAACCCACCTCTGGCACGATGACCTTTCAAAACCACCAGCGGGAGGCGAACATAATTGCGCGTGTCTTGTAGAGCCCCCCAAACCAACTGGCTTCGGCTTTCCTTTTGGCTTCCCCTTCAAGCCACCCAAAAAGGAGTACCCAACACGGAAGCCACCTCCAAAAGACCTCCAAAAAAGGGAGCCTTTCTCTGTTGTCTATTTGAGAAGGGGGAACCCTCCCCCAAAAAAGGTTGGTAAAAGGGCGCTGGGGGACCTAGTCTTGGCTTCCCCTTAAAGCCAGCCAAAAAAAAAAAACGCGGGAAACATGCCAAAACCGAGAAATCCACACAAACACCTCGAGCGGCTCGAGCGGCTCGTTCGCGCGCCTCGGCCAGGCCGCCGCAGCGCAGCGTCCGCTCCTCCGCCAGCTGGGCGCGCAAGGCTTCCAGCTCCACCCGCAGGTCCGGGAGCCTCAGGCTGTTTTTTGTGGGGATTTCGGGCCTGTTTTCAAGGGACCCCACGCGAGAGGGTCCCATGGCTTTTGGGGAGTAAAAAGGGGTCGTTCAGTACCTCAGTATTAAGGGGCCCTCAGGGATTGAAATTCTTTGGACGAGCCGCGAAAAAACACACCCCCAAATTGTGGGGTTCTTGAAAAAATAATCGAATTGGCGGGGTTCTCCACGAAAAACGCAGCCAAAACGGCGATTTTCCCTCCAAAAACTCAGATGTTCAGTGGGCAGGAAAGAAATAGTTTTTGGCTTTTGTAGCAAGCACTGCTTCGGGAGGATGTTTGCTGCGGCGTGTTCGTTTGGCCGCCTTTGCCGCCTTTGCCGCCTTTGCGCAGCTTGCTGCAATTGGGACAGCGTGTGACTTGGCTTTGCGGATGGGCGGGTTTCTACGCGCCGCTTGCGCATGGCAAGTCTCAGCTGAACCTCCTGGTTTCGCGCACCGAGCGACAAAGCCAACAGAAAGCGCGAGAATTGGGACTGCGTTGGACTGTGTTGGGCGCTAGCGTCGTGCGCTGGCGCCACCGTACACGGCTGCTTCGATCAGACGCGGACGCGTCGCTTTGTCTTGGAAAGGGTCTCGAAAGAAATAGAAGGTGCGCGTGCAGCTTGCTGTCTTGGGCATGGGCTTTCCCTAGAATATGACTGCCCGAGTCGAAGTCCATACTCTAACTGCAATGGTTAAAAGAACAACAAACAAGAACATACTCCAGCTGCTAGTCCGATACGGTGGTTTTCCCTCCAAGGAATAGGGAATGAAGCAAGGGATGCCCTCAAAGGATTGTTTACAGAAGTCATTCCCTCATTCGCTGCTGAGCACCAGCAAGTCAAGAAGGCATCCAAATCAACTAGCAGAACGCGAACCCAGTGACCAGTCACGAATTCAAAAGAAGACCTGATCGAGTCCCTTCCCAAGATTTCAGCTCCCGCCAATTGGTGGGGTTTAGTAGCTAGGGGGCGGTTTCCCATTCCTCTACAAAACCACGGGTTCAAATCCTAAATCACCAACCCAAGCCCACAAGCAGGAGTTACCTGAAGATTTGAGCTTTGAAAGGGGCAACAAACAGGGCACTCACCAAAAGTCAACTACAATCCAATTGGCATGTTGAACCACCCGATGGTTGCTTCGCAAAATAGGCACCCGAAAAAATAGTTGGTGTCCTTTTGGTTTGAGGGGCGGGGGGCGTTGTGCCGTTTTCACACCTGTGCCTCCAAGAATGTGGGAACAAAGGCTCCTTTGGGCGGAGAAACCAGAAAGAAACCCTTTTGACCCTCAAACTTCCCTTCAAAAGCCCCAAACTCATGTGAGTCATAATCAAAACTTGGTACACAAATGGTGCACCCAGAACCATGTAAAGAACCATGTATGGTTGGGATCGTCCCTTACCAACCGAACCATCTACCCAGGTTTTGAGCACGTGGCTCATGTGGTGGTTCCCATGGTTCGGGTCGTTGGACCGGGCGTTGGCTCGCTCCATTTTTCGGCTCGACCTGCTCGGAGCTTGGGCCCCCAGCGTCGGCTTTGAGATGTCCGGCTCCTGCCGAGGGGTTTGTGAGGGTAGTGGATCTGCAAAAGAAACAGGGATCCTTACAATGGATCCACCTGAACATTGCAACTTGTAAATGGTGTTTTTTTTGTTGTTTCTCTTTATTTTGGTGCTGAAAAAGCCATGTAGCTCAAAGGGTTGCAAAATGAAGATTTCTTTTTTCAGGAGCCCTGAGAAAGATTCGCCCAACGTGCGGATTTGAGGGGAATGGTGTCATTCGGAAAAGACCTCAAAATCTCCAAGGGTAAATCTCTTGTGACTTTTGGAGGTCGTGCGAAGTCTCCACTGTGATGTCGATGTCACCGGAATGCCTTTCTTTTGACAAAGCATGGCATAGTTCCCTATACCCTCCTTGGCTTACATGGCCTTAACCATGTCTGGCTGACCTTGCCTCTGCCAAATTTAACTGCTCTTCAATCAGGAATGCCTTTCCAAGCGTAATTCATCTGGGCTGTCCAAACTGATCCCCTGCTGAAAGAACAGCTTCTAGTGGCGTTGGCTGGACACCCCCGCTACACCCTAAACACCCAAGGGGACGGCGAACCGCCCAGTTGAAAATCGTCCACCGGAAAGTCTGACTATGTCACCCTCGGCTCCCTCCAACACGGAGCACCCCCCGGATTCATCGACCCTAACAGCCCTTCATTCCAAGCCTGGTAGACTTCGGGGGCGGCCATGACGCATACCAAAAGAACTTGAATACGCTGCATGGACTGGTAGCACAAGACTGTGTTGTTTGCAGCCCCCTAACAAATCCGCAGAGCCAAAGACCAAAAAAAACATAAACTTGCCAACGTCAGTGAAGAGGGACTAACCGAGACATGCCAACTTGGACCTAGGAATGCTTCCCTTGTTCGGTGTAAAGGCGAACGAGGTCAAAGGTCCCCAGTGTCCAAATGGGATCTGACCTAGTCCTCCCTTCCTCTGGTTCTTACGGGAAGCTCAGGTCTTTTGTGGAAGGGAAAACCCCAGAAACTGACAAGCGAGGGTGGCCATGTCTCCCCAAAGCCAGCTGGTGTCCAAACCAGCCAAGGGCGGTAGGTTGTACCCGAACAGAAACATATTCAGGGGTATTGCGGCCGGTCGGTGCCAAAAAAACAAAGCGACCCAAAAGGGGGTAGGTCGTAGTACAACCGGCCCCCTTTGCTCGTTTTCTACACCTTCGCCTCCAGATTTGAGAGGTTAGAATAAGGGTACCCGATCCTTTTTCTGTATAGTCTATTTTAGTAGGGGAACCCTCCCCCCAAAAAAGGGGAGAGAAGGGCACTACTGGGGACCTAGGGTAACCCCAAAAGGTAGGTTGTAGTGCAACCTACCCCCTTCGGCTTGTGTTTTTTTAGAGAAACCAAGAGGCTTTGGGGGGAAATTCGGTCGCTTTTGTCCGTTACCCAAACAGGGCTGTGGGAAATGGAATCCACTTCTGTGATACAACGAAAAGGGCTTCCCAAAGACTAACCCACCGTATAAAGGCTTTAGGGGGAGATTCCCGAAGGTATCACAGAAGTGGTTGGAGAAACCCTTTGGTCCCACAACTCTCCTGTTAGATGTGTTTTCAAACCAAGAATGTGTGGGACCATGTTCGGGAATCTCCTTCCGTTCTGGCGCGGTCCGAACAAAACTATCGCCTTCCGTTCCACTTGACTCCATGTCATCCGGCGCCTGGCGCGAGAAGGTCCGAAGCTCCCACAGCGCGGCCTGGCCAAGCTGCGGAGGGTTTGTGACAAAATGGGGGGGGACCCAAAGAATGGTTGGTGTTGTTTGTTTCTTTTCTTTATTGAAAAAATAATAAAACAAATAATAAATAAACATAAAAATAAACAAATAATAATAATAATAACACACCTTGCGTGGTTTGATTTGTTCCTTGTGTTTTCCTTTTTGGGGGTCGGTTTGGAAGGGAAACCACCAGGAAACCTGTTCAGGGGAACACCATGTTGCTGTTCTTTTTTCAAATTAACTCAAAATGGTGTTCTGCTGAACAAGTTTCCTGGTGGTTTCCCTCGCAACCCAAAATAATGTTCCCCTGAACAACCACAAGTATTGCAAGTTGGGGGGAACAGGGGGAGCCTCGGTCATTTACCGCAATTTACCCGGGTTTTGCGGTTGGATCTGGCTGGCTCACTTGCAATGGTGCGGGAAAGCGTTGATCAAAAGGTCCTTCCTTTACATGGGATGACCGTTGGGGGAAAACCAACAAAAAGATGAGATTCCCCACGGAAAAGTTACCCATGGTCATTGCGGGGGGCCGAAAAGATATTGATGAACCCCCACCTAGTGCTAAAACATTTGAAACAGGGGATGCGCGAGGACACCTGACCAACTTGGGGGGGAGTCTTTTTTTTAGGGGATCCCCCCCAAAATTGGTGGGGAGAACCACTAAACATGGGGGGTACTCCAAGAAGGACACACCCTTTTCTAGCCTTGAGGGTTGATCCTTAAGGCTCCTCGCAGCCCTGGCGGAATATGGGCAATGTGATGGAAACCAAGGAGTGCATCTTCAAGTGTCAAGGAACAACCTCGGTATGGTGCCAGGTACCAAGCAACATTTCACCAACTGCCTTGCCTACTGGGGACGGACCAAATCCACAAAACGCACCAGTTGGAATGGATGAGACCCTATGGATATATACTGGGATAAACCGCCTACCAAGTGTGCATTCATCCACAGTAAGTTCAAGTGAGTCATAATCAAATTTTAATAAAGGGATCTACACGAAATCCAGGTAAAGAATCAAGAGGACGGATGTCCGCGCCTATGTAAAATTCCTGCTGCCTTCAACTACCCAGGTGCTGATTTTGGCCCTTTTGGATGTTCAATCCACTGCATAGGTTATAACCATGGTCACATATGGATGGGCACATAACCACAGGTGACCCTTTGAAAAAAACAGATGTATGTCCCTGGCAAATGGGTACTGACACGTATCTAAACCAGTGGAACCCATCCATGGTCTAACCAAACTAAGCTAAAAAGGGACACCCCACATGGGTGTGGCAAATTTAAGAGCTAGGGTTGCGCAGGTGGTCTTTGTTTCCATTTACCTCCATCTTTTGAGCTACAGCTACATCACCAAAACCTACCCTTCACCAAAAAAAAAAAACTGCAGCTACATAACCAAACCTAACCTACCTAACCTACAGCTACATAACCAAAACAAACTGTCCCTTCACCTTCACTTGCCCGGGCTGTGACGCCCGCCGAAGCGGAAGTCGACGGAGAAAGCCGAGCCCCCGCCTCCTGCTGCGCCCGCCGCAGCTCCGCCTAAGGAAGCCGCCGGAAACAAGAAAACCAAGGAACATAAGGGAATGAAGGAGCCATGGGAAAACATTCGGATGAAGAACACCATAGGAACATATAGGAACGCATAAACCTAAAGAAACTACAAGACACCAAAGGAAAGCCTGGAAATCAAAGAACACCATAGAAACACATTCGAAATCATAGCCATAGGAAACCAAAGCAAACCAGACGAAACATCAAACAATGATCCGCCCAAACGGAATTTCAAAAGGTCGCGGTCTCTGAGCCCGGCAGAGCCGGGAGATACAAGAGCGAAAACAGCCTCGTTGTGGCGCGGATACTTGAGTGCTTTCATCTTGAACCTATTTGCAGGCATCACTCTCAGCGCATCCTACAAAGGATGCGTTGGGCTTAGCATCTCAAAACGAAACCAAAGAGAAAATTATCGGATCACTATGCTGACTGATTGGGTGGTGTCACAAAATGGGGGTGGCCCAAACAATGGTGGGGGTGAGGGTCGCTGTTTCCTTTGAAGCCATCCAACAAGGGCACCCTCAACTCACTTCCTAAGCGGATCAGTCAAAGTCCAAACTTTCTGTTTACCAATAAAATGGTCTTCCCAAGAGTTTGAAGTCCAGAAAGCCCAATGAGCCAAATGACAGCAACAATGTTTGGGAAAGCATGCATTTCCTAAAGAGGAAAACCGGTTTGGTCGGTTGTCACAGACAAGTAAAACAAACTACTTGCAGCAGGTCGAGAATTCCAGACCAAAGAGGTGGGGCTGAACAGGCTGAACAGTTGCCAGGAGTTGGCGCATGCATGCGAAAACACAAACAAAACAACAAAAAACAGTCGCATGTTGACTTTCATTTCACAAGTCTCCTGCACCTTCGGACCTGCGCGAGGAACAATGTTGCGCCAAGAACAATGGCGCTTGATATATTTTGTTGGGCCCCACTTCTTATCATCCCTAAGTGTGGGACATGCCTTTGCCACCGTGGTTGCGCTGGCAAACGGCCTTCTATTCACGATGGATTCGTAAACCCATGCAATGTCCGTTGCCCTTGTCAAGACTCGCCTTCGCTTTTGTCAACCCAAATGGGCAGTTGCGTCTTGCTTCACCTTGAAACCAACGCAAAAAGGGCACTGTACGGGCCTTTAAAAAAAAGAATGGGCTGTGGGGTACTTTCAAACCACATTAGGGCGTGATCATGGGAGCACAATGTGAGTAGCTATCTAGACCCCTCATACCCCCTGCCACTCAGCCCAAGCCGTCCCCTTCCAACCTGGGCGTCCAAATCCCGCTGCATGTCTTTCAAAGACCTGGCACGAAAGCAGAACCCTATGGACGCAAAGGTTTCATGTAGGATCTTCTAGGATGCTACGGCCACTGAGCCTCCCATCTTGGCTGGAATTAGAACCCCGGCAAAAAACTAGATTTTGTGCTTGGCTAGTGGAAAACAAAGGGGACCCAAAAAAATACAAAAAAGGAAAAAGGGGAGCTAATTCTGGGGAAGCTATGTCACAAGATTGTCTGATGGTCTATGCCTGAATTGCGCCGGTTCAGCCCGCGATTTCCGGTTGCGACATCTGGCAAGACTAGTTGGGCCATGTCCGCAACATCCGAGCTCACCGAACAAGCACCAACAAAACGGGAAACGGGAACCTAAACCCCTAGTATATTTATGCGGGGCGTCTCACCTCGATTTATCCAGACACACACTCACATGCGTTTGTCTTTTTGAGGGAACCCCAACGTTGGGGGCAACTAAAACGGGAGGTACCTAAATTCGCAGCCTTTTCTGCAGCAACCTCTCACCCCAGCATGCACCTGACAAAATACAAATGTCTAGGAGTTGATTCCCTGTCCATTCTTTTCAGCCCTCGTTCTTTTCCAAAACCGATCGCCATTTCCCCAGGGTGTTTGGTGGTTTTCTAGAAAGAATTGGATCCCTGGAAGGAATGGGGAAGGTAGCCCTGGAACCCTGAGGTTTTTAGGCCTGTTTTTGGCTTTTGGATTTAGTGGTAGTTTCCACTAAACCACCCAAGTCACACCTAGAAAAACTCCCAAAAAACGGCGCCCTGCTTTGTCCCTAAACACCGCTGGCCTCTCGAGATGAGCGTCCTGCTGCTCGAGCCGGCGCCTCATCTCCCCCTGGCGTTTGAGATGCTTCAGTCGAAGCGCCGGATCTGAATGGAAGTTTTACCGTGTCAAGCGTTCCACCGTTCAGAAACCCAACGGAAGGATTCCATTCCCCAACGTAAATGCCGGGCGTTTCTTCAGCGGTGCTTGTAGATGTCGCCAGCATTCACAATATTTTGGAGGTCCCAGTTGAGACAAATCCGGCTTCTAGGCTGACCCTTTGGTACTGGAAAGTGAGATTTCCCACTGGCAGATTCATAGGGGAAAAGGTGATCCGGATCTGCGACATGGGTATATGTATATTTATGGGTCTGAATTTCAAAAGGGACCCTTCCGTGGACATCATTTGGGTGGGGATCCATGCCCACCAACCACTTTGGAGGGGAACCGCCCCATTAAAACTCATTGTATATATATATACATATATATATATATACTTGGTTGGAATTAGGACCCCAACAAATATATATATATATATACATATATATATATATGTTATTTGTTTGCCTGGTTAGTGGAAAACAAAGGGAACCCCAAAAAAACAAGAAAAAAGTAAAAAGGGGAACCAATTCATTGTACATATATACATAGACGCCTCAGAGGTCGATGCGTCGATGTCGGAAAGCCATGGCCCAAAAGCCCAATGGCCGTGACCCATCTCACTAACCCCAAGCCGGGACGGCAGGCGACAAAGAAGGTATCAATTTACCTTGTCTCCCGACCTCCGAACTGGTTCCATTTGGAGACATCTCAAAAAAATACCCTCTTTCTCTCACTTGCTGAATTGATTGGCAAAAAGAAAGTCCAAGAACTTTGGTACTTGCCACGAAAATGGAAACCAAACCCAAACAGTGACTAAAGTCCAGCACCTCTTGCGTGTGCGGATTAGTCCGGCCCATAGAACCGTGGAACCCGAAAAAAACTACGCCCAAGGAGCATCCCCAACAACACCAACCCCCCCCACCCAGCAACTACAAACCGACCACAATAAGCAAACGTGGCCCCCAAACGCGCCAAAAAAGGCAAAGACCACACCACACGGCCCCCCAAAACCCGCAAGGGGCGCGCGCCCCGCCCCAAGGCTACTTGCCTCCAACTGCGCCATCGCGTGATTTCGCGCGACGCGCTCGGCCTGCGCGAACCGGAACATATGAAATTCCCGGAAGACGCACAATTGGGAGGACTGGAACATAGCTGTGCATGGTTGCGAAATCCGCGAGTCTCGCACCAATCCGAAAACCTGGTTTCTGATTCGATTCTCTGGCAAATACCCACACACCATGGTTTCCCCATGGCTCAAAGTGGTGCGAAATGGATTTCGTCCATCCACAGCAGGTGGCCAAGGTGGCACTGATGAATGGTCAGAAACAAGACCAAAGGACACCTATGGTGGTGGTAACGGTCATCGGCGTCATCACGATCATGACCGTTACCACCACCACCACCACCACCACCACCACCACCACCACCACCACCACCACCACCAACCCCGCCGCCGCCGCCGCCGCCACCGGCATTACTCATGGTCATCGTCATCCTCCTCGTCCTCCTCATCATCCTCATCCATCGTCATCGTCATCATCATGGTTATTTGTCATAATTCTAGATGTAAATATGCACGTACATCTGTGTATATGTATATATATTATGTATACATAATTATATACATTGTGCTAAAACCCAAACGTCAAACACCGAGGCCGCACTTCTTCGGGGTATTTCCAAGTTTTACGGGCAGTCGGCAGATTCTCGCAACCAGGTGCCGGGGAAGCTGCAAAGCAGTTAGCGTCGCAAACTGCTGCAAACTCAGTCGGAAGTGCCACTTGACCACTGGATGGGGGGATGGGGTTCGGAGAGCCTAGAAAAGGGGGAACATTGTTCTTTCAAAAACGCGCCCTTGCGTTTCCGTGCTCTGGGCCCCTTCTTCGTCACAACTTTGGGAGGGAGTTTCAAACTTGTGCCCGCTTAGCGCGCCGAGATGGCCCCTAAGATGGTCCCAAGTTTTGCCATGCTGGACGAGATCTCTGAAGTCACCCGAAATCCTAAAAGCCTTGGCCAGCCGGTCTTGCAGGCCTTGTCCGAACAAAGAGCAACATGGAAAAAACCGCCCGCCAATCAGCTGGTCAATGTGACTCGCTCGCACTGGTCAATGCAGCGCCAGCTACAGTCTACGTGAGCAAAAGGGGCTCGGGATGTGACCACTGTGAAACACAAAAAATAAACGGGCTCCCCAAAAAACTCACCAAGTATCACAGTGGTTGGAGTGATCCACCACAACCCTAGTACAGTAGAGAGCTTAGAATAAGGGTCAACTGTTTCTCTATTTTAGTAGGGGAACCGAATCTCCCCCAAAAAAGAAACGGCTGAGAAAGGTTGCACCTAGCCGGGGGACCCAGCCCTACTTCTTTCCGATGGTTCACACATCTCTCAGAAGCCCAAGGCCATAGATAAAAACAAATAGATGGGTTTCCCTGGGAAATGGGGCAACCCCATCTAAACCCCCATCTAATTAAATGGAATAAACCCCATCTAAACCACGGACAAGTCTAAGGAACAAACCCATTTTTCATAGACCCATCCAAACCAGGAATCGCCCTCTAATTTTGTTTAAAGCAAACCAACCAAAAAGGACACCTATGCCCAAGGCGTGTATCTTGGAAGCTTCGCGCCTCGATGTGTTTCAGCACCTCTTTGGTCACCTCTTCGGTGACTTTGCTCGTGGCGTCCTCTGGCTTGCAGTTTCGTAGGGGTGAAGAATTGCGCGCCTGACCCATGACCGTGACTCAACATGATTCCATACTTGGGTGCTCGTTGCCAAGTGGCCATGGGTCAAAACCCCGTACCCCCAGTGAACATCCCAATCCCCACTAAAATCGGCTTGCACCTATCCCAAAATGGTACCATTGGTTTTGCGCCATAGCCAAGTCAGCAAGTTGTTGGCCTAGGTTCTACTTGGAAGTCCCCCGGTCAGTGGGGCTAACAACTTGTGAGGGGGCTATGCCCCAAGTGGATGACCACTTGCTAACTTGGCCAATCGAACATCCAAGTTGGTCCCCGCAACTCGAGGATCCCCTCCAGAGGCTGTGCCATTCAAATGCCAGACTGCAAGTCTAATAAAAGAAGCTTGGCCTGAATCAGCCCATTTGGATATATGCGTCAAGTTTGGCTGACCCCCAAAATAGGTGGGCTGTCCTTTCGTGTTCTTTTCTTGAAACCAACCTGAAAAAAAGGGGTTTCCTTCAAAAGCACAAACACAAACACACACAGACGCAGACGCAGACGCAGACGCAGGCGCAGGCGCAGGCGCAAACGCAGACGCAGACGCAGACGCAGACGCAGACGCAGACGCAGACCCAGACACAGACACAGACACAGACACAGCACAGAGAGACACAGAGAGACACAGAGAGACACATAGAGGCACAGAGAGACACAGAGAGACACAGAGAGACACAGAGAGACACAGAGAGACACAGAGAGACACAGAGAGACACAGAGAAACACAGTGAGACACAGAGAGACACAGAGAGACACAGAGAGACACACAGAGACACACAGAGACACACAGAGACACACAGAGACACACAGAGACACACAGAGACACACAGAGACACACAGAGACACACAGAGACACAGACAGAGAGACAGACAGGGAGACAGACAGACAGACAGACAGACAGACAGACGGACAGACAGACAGACAGACGGACAGACAGACAGACAGACACACACACACACACATGTCCCTTGCTTGGGACATGTTCCACCTCTTCGCCGCCAGTTTTCTTTAACATGAGGTTCCTGCTTATGATGCTTTGTTGAGGACCTCCAGGGAACCTGAAGCGTGGCCAATGCTTTTTTCGGTTTTTTAGATTTGAGAGGATAGAATAAGGGTACCCGATCTTTTTTTCAGGACGTCTATTTCACCAGGGGACCCCTCCCCAAGAAAAGTGGGTAACGGAGCATAGGGGGACCTAGTCTAAACCTCTTCAGTGCTATGGTTGCAAAAAAACCCTCTGTTTCCAGAGTCTTTCCCTGAATTTCCCTTGGACCTAGTGGCGATCGCTTCTGAGCACACGGGCGAATGATCGATCAACTTTTGAAGCGACGGCCGGCTCCTTCAAGTGAGAGTTGATCCTCTCGACCTGCCCATGCTCGAGGTTCTGTACCTGAAGCGAAACCGGGAGATGAACCCCGCAGATTTCATGGAACCCGAAAAGGGGTAAGGAGATTACTCCAAAATTGGGGTGGTTGGTTGGGTTCATTCAGTTGTAGGTGAGACGTCATGCCTCGGAACCCTAAACTACAAAAAGAGTCCAAGCGTCTGGCTGGGAAGTATCCAATGCTTCAGGCCAAGGGGAGTTGCAGCCCTTGTTCATGACGCTCAGACTCGGGCGGTCGGTCTGAATCAGGCTTGAACCATGGCAGCAACAGGGATCCTTACATGAAAAACACCTGAACATTGCAACTCGTAAATGGTGGTGTCCCTTTCATATTATTTTGGTGTTGAAAAATAAAGCCATGTTTCATGTAACTCAAATGGTTTCCCTTTATTTTGGTGTTAAAAAAATAAAAAATAAAATGTTTCATGTAACTCAAATGGGTTCCCTGTATTTTGGTGTTGAAAATCAACAGCCATGTTTCATGTAACTCAAATGGGCAACGCAAAATGGATTTTTTTTTTCAGGAGCCCTGAGAAACCTATGTCAAACCCCTGGGCAGTGGGTCCAAAAATTAGCAAAAGTTAGGGTGGGGAAGGGCCGTGGAATGGACATCTGGCCATGGGCTTTTCAAAATCCAAAATCGGTTAGCCCCCAGTAAACATCCCAAAAGCCCCCAGTGAACATCCCAAAAGTAATTACACTAAAATAGGTTCTAAAATGGGTGGTGAATTCACCTAGCCCAAAATGGGATCCCATTGGTTTGGACAACCACAGCCATCTAGCAAAAGCCAGCGCTGGTTACATTCTCTCCAATGGAAGTGGATAGGCTTCCCGAAAAGGTCTTCGCGAAAGCGTCTTCCAAAACCCGGACCGATGGTCAGCTTCCGTCTGCTGGATGGCCGGCACTCAAGTTGAGCTGGAGGCCAACCGGGGGTCTCCAACGCCCCGAACACCCGATTCACCGACCGGGGGATCTGGGAATCTGGTGACTGTGATGCCGCAGCCCGAAAAGGACACCCGGATGGATGCAGCATAGGCGCCAGGTATTCCCCTTCTGAGGCTTTCCTGTGATTTAATCTATTATAACCTATTATAACAATATTGCCTATTGTGACACAACACACCAATATATATATATATATATGTACATATACACACATGATTCTCGAATTCCAACTTTACGAAAGCTTATAGTTTGGAGGACGGAGTGCGCCCAACAAGCTAGAATGGTCCAAGCCCAAAAAGTGGTTGAAGTCCGAGTTCCGCAACTTATTCAGTGAGCCTGCCGCTAATGAGGGGAAGGGTGCACAAACTAGGTCCTCCAGTGGTTTAAGAGGGTAGAATAAGGGTACCAACTTTTTTCTGTAGTCTATTTTAGTAGGGGCATGGGAAGACGGATCTTTCCTTTTTGGAGGAGCTGCATCCGCAGCCAGACGCCTGGTCCCCCACACATCCCGAGGATCCCGGAATGCCTCGTGCATGGAGGCCCGCAGGCGGCTCCTGTCTGCAAGGAACTCGTCTTCAGAGAACAGACCTGGCGGAAGCGGAGAAGACGACCATCCAGAGAGTCTTTGGTGTATGTTGCCAAGGGATGTTAGGACGAATCTAACTTTTTGCCAACTAATGAATTGGTTGTCCGTATTAAACCACTAAAAGTTGAAAACTTTTAGCAGGGGAGCAGAAAGCAACCAAGGAGATCCAGAGCAGGGGTTACTCTTTTTGCCACCTTTTGTGAGAAAATTGCCGACCCCCTCAACAAGGAGTCCTTCACCACGAGGGGGTCGATGAATTGTCCACAGAAGGGATCAGCAAGAAGACCCCCTGATCCAGAGATTGGCGGCTCGGACCAACCATGCCTGCACTGGCAGCACATATGGGTGTATTCTTTGAGACCCGTGTCAGATTGGTTTCACGGTTGGGTCCCTCTATTTGACACATAGACATATTCCATAGAGGAGCCAACACGGCAAATAAACACGGCATGTAGGCGCCCCTTGTGGCAGATCAAAAGAAATAGAACTCGGTCCATCGAGCAGACGGGTGTCTTTGGGGAACCCTTTTTTGGTGGGTTCAAAGGGAAACCAAAAGGAAGAACCACAACTTTTGGGGGGGAAGGGGATTTCTAAAAAACGACACCCAGCTGCCTTGGGACTTGATGGGAGTCTCGGGGATGATGTTTCCGCATGGAACCTGGAAGTCCGTGTATCGCCTGGTCGGCCATTGGTTGCCCTAGAAATTGATGCTTGGCCAGTGGCAACAGGTATGGAAATCTGAGGACATCCTTAGCAAGTCGGCAAACCAATCTTTTTCTGGTGGGGGACATGAACCAAAAAACCGCCAGCAAAGAGTGGAATACAAACTGGCTGTTCAGAAGGGTGGAGACAAGAAGCAAGCAGGTGGGTGTGTCTTTCGTGAAGGGATCCTCAAAATGGCATTGTTTGCTTGGTTGATGTCCCCTTAAAGCCACCAAACAAAGGTGCACCAACTCTCAAAAACAGCAAAGCCACGCAGTTGAATAGGCCATCTAGTCTGGCAATGAGCCCTTCAAGCGTCCCCTAAGTGCACATCATGAAAACCGGGAAAGCGGAGGCTCCGAAAAGATGCCAAGCCACTTGCAAGAATTGTGTGTGTGTGTGTGCGATGAACATGCCGCCCTTGTTGGTCGAAAGAGGGAAATTGCTGCGGGCCCTACAAAAAGCGCCTCACAAAAAGCGGCTTCTGCTTAAGTGGTTGAGAGGGAAACAACCCAAACAACCAATATAGCGTATTTTTGGCTGAGGGGGAAACAACCCAAACAAAAAATATCCCAACATAAGTTGAGAAGTCCTCGACATCTTCACTTGAAGGGGCCCAGTCGGGGCGCCGTCCATCGGCTGAAAGCACGGCTACCGCTGAGTTTTCGGCGGGGAGCGCTGTGAGACATGGCGTCCAAAGCCGACCGCCCGATGCTAATACGGCTGCAAGTGCCACAAGCGCATAAATCAGGGGGGGTGGGGGTGTTCCCGATTTCAAGGGTCCTCACAAATGGCTGGTGTCCTTTTGGTTTCCCTTTTAAATGCCGAAAGCGAATGGGGATGTTGGGTACCATTCACCCAAATGAATTGGTTTGTCTTCAGGCGCTGGTGAGTATGTGTCCACGGTGGGGTCTACTTTTCCTTCCTCCCTTGAAACAAGATGCCACAATTGGAACTTCCAGCGCTCACTTCCTGAGTTCGCCAAAGGTCCGAACTGTGTGTTTGCCCCTAAAACGGTCTTCCCAAAAAGTGGTTTAAATCCATTCCTACAACACGACGATCTCGGGGATGGCCGAACAGTGATCTCGCGATGTCCCGAAGCAGACTTCGAGGTCCCTTGGGCCTGAAACCAACATGCTTGAACATGGGTACATGACGGTTCTCTCACTCTCAAATATGTGGTGTTATCTCAGCTCGAGTAAACGTGGTTGATGTAAACGTGCTCAAATATGCGGTAGCTCTTGACTACAAATCTGATGTGTGTAGAAAAAGGCTAGCCAACGAAATCTGCCGTCGACTGGGTTTTGAACTAACTTTGAGCCACGCCGATTTGGAGAGAAATCTCTCTCGCGCAGCCCAGTCCAGGGCTGGCTGCCTCTTGTGAAACCCTTCTTCACGGTTTGGGTTCACCATTTTCCACTCACCTTTCCTGGGACTCCTTTTTCCAGCTGGTCTATGGGAAACCACAGGTGATCTTCCATTTGGATAAGGCCCCAGGACAAAATACAGATATTTCCAGTAGTGATGAATTCCGTTTAAAACCAGCAAGGGAAAATATAACCATATTCATTTCAGCAAATGGAGGTGATTTTTCAGGGGACTTTCAGCGGAGGTCCTTACATTATACACCTGAACATTGCAACTTGTAAATGGTGGTCTCCCTTTATTTTGGTGTTGAAAAACTCACTGGCTGAGTGGATGGTCCAAAAAAAGTCCAAACTTTGCATTTGCCACTAAAATGGTCCAACCCCAAAAAGTTTAAAGTTCATGAACTCAGGAAGTGAGAAAAGCAACATGTTTCAAATGGTTGCAAAATGGAGATCTCTTTTCAGGAGCCCTGGATTCAGGGCCGAGGCCCACTGGGGTCCAACCTTGAAAAGACACACCCGTTCGGTTGGGAACCCCCAAGATGGGTTTGGAGGTTTTTGTTTTTTTCCGTTTCCCTTAGCCGTTCCAAAACGGGTGTGCCAACTCCAAAAGAAAATCCAAAGCAACCAGATGTGCCTCCAATTTGTTGTAGCATGGAAATCCACTGGGCATCTGAGGTATCCAAGCTTTTGGGGGGTCTCCGATGTTAAGACCATTTATCCTAAAAACCGACCACCTCGTTTGGGAACCCCCAACCTCTCATAAAAATCTGGGAGATGCTGGCCTCAACTTACGGACGCTACCACCGGGTCCATTACAAAAAATCGCCGCTCAAAGGGAACCCCCCGTTTTCTGACTTTAACCCCCAAACATCTGTGCAAAAACGAGCCCAAACTGAGCTCAGCTTCAGGTTTCCCATTGTTTTGCCCCCAGTATCAAGGACCTCAGGAAAACGACGCCGCCCTTGTTGAAGAAAAACTCCACCCCCACCCCCAACCCCCGCTTCCCCGGCAAAGTAAAGGGGCGGTTTGCGCGGAGATGGCAGGGGTTGGGCGATGGGCTCTGCTGCGACTTAAACTTCGAAACCCACGAGTGGTGGATATATACATGTGTATGTTTAAAAATGTAATATATATATATATATATTATATATATATATTATATATATATATATATTTCGATGTATATAATGTGGATATATGCATATAGGTATAATATGTGTATATATGCATCATAGTAAAAGCTGGGGTTGATTGATATGGGGTCAACATTAGACGTGCTTCACTTTTGTGGGTTAAATTTGGCCGTTGAGCCACGAAACCAAATAAAAAACTTCGCTAAAAGCCTAAGGAACCGGACGATTCGCTGGTTCAGAACCGAGCCTTGGCCACGTGGCAAGTCTCATATCTTAATCCGTGTTCAACACGAACGTTGTTGGATTTACATATGCCCCCTTGTCCCTGGTTCCTCGTCCATAACTTTAGTCAGCGATGCAAGATGTCAACAACGTTGAGCCAGATATTTCAACTGCCTGCAACATGTTACCACACGATTGATCACTATACAAGATAATATGAGGATAATTCAGCTTACCTCCGGAATTTGTCAAAGCGAGCTCGCTCTGCTGTCATTTGAGAAACACTTGAAACCGCGCGCCTCGAGTCTGCCAGTCCAGCCGAAGGCTTGTCGAGCAAGCCGCAACTTCACCTCGTGAGCGTGGCTCAACAGCTTCCCCGACAAAGGAGCACAACATGATAGGGAGACTCGGTCGCTTTCTGCTCCCCTGCTGAAAGTTTTCAACTTTTGGTGGTTTCACCCATTAGTTGGCAAAGAGTTAGAGTCCTACAATCCAAGCAAAATGCACCAAAGGATACATATCGGACCATTCGGCCAAAACTGGAGCTGGCTAAAAACTGTACGGCCCCCCCCTCCCCCCCGCCCCACGGCAAAGTCGGGGACGAAGCAAAAAAAGCATCGCTTGGTTCTGAAGTAGTTTCTGCCAGTTGAGTGGCATTCCAAGCTTGTGTCAATTGCACAGAACTGTATCAGACTTGTAGTTTCAGCAGCTTGTGATTCGTCGAAAATCAGAAGGCAGTCCTAACAATTGTCAGAAGTCCCGCTAGATGTGCCAGAGCTAGTTGTCATAGCTAGTGTGTTGCAGCTGATTCTCTGGCGGTCTGTGGAAGAAAACTGTGGTTCATCAATCTGTCATCCTGACATTTCCTAGAACTGGCTTCTGATTGCTCAACGAATCACAGCGAGTTCAGTGAAAGACAAAATGCGAAAAGCTCGTGATGGAAAATCTTTGCCCGCAATTCCGGGGGGTCTTCGATCAACGTTGGAAGTTTTAACACCATGTTGGACCCAAGGGCACAGATCAGCTGGGAAACCAGCCTTTCAATTGGGCAACTCTTTGTCTTGACAAAGCCATGTCTTTGCGGGAAGCCAAGTCATTTCTGCCAAAGTTATGGCCATGTTTTGTGTTCCTTGAGGTGGCCTGGAGCACCAAACTTGCTCGGCAACTAAAAAGGAGTTCATGCCACGTCCAAACGAATGCAAGAATGATTGGCTTGGGAATTGAAGCGGCGGGGGCTTGCGGGTTGATGTTTGCTTGAACAGATGTTGCTTAAAAAGCAACAAATCCAAAAGGCTGATCCCTCACTTCCAGAGAAAACTGAAACGGGTTGGCCGATCAGACCTACAGTATAGAGCCTACAGCCTTCAAGTCACATTGCTGCAAGTCACAGGCTTGGCCGCATAACCAGCAGATGCGGTTTCGCCAAACGTTTGCTTCCAACCTCCTCCTTCATGAAACTTCCTCCTTCCGCAAAGAAAGAGATCAATTGTGCGGACACTCCACCGCTTGTTCCACAAATGAGTCCCTTCAGCAAATAGTGGTTGCACCCTGAACACTACAAGAACCAGTGACTACAGAGTGTGGTGATCTCTGCATTGTTTATCCGAACCGCTTTTCGCTCGAGTTCTCTCGCGCTAAAAAATGTTGAGACTGTTGAGACCATCAGTGCCTGGTTTTCAGCACGGTCTTTCTTATGCGTCAGTTGCCCCCGGCAGTCGTAAAAGCAGCAGAGATGTTGCTTGCGCACAGAATTCCAAATGTTTGAAACATTAACGAGCGATCCCTGGAACATTGTGGTTTGATATTCTGGCTGCCTGAGTCAATGGTACCGCTTTGTCAAGGGCGTCCCTTAGGGAAAAATGAAAAGCACCTGTGATAGGAGAACTCTTCGCGAATGTGACCAGTCCTTCAGGGTTGCTCTAAAGATCCTGAGTGTGTTCTATGTGCAAAAACTTCAGGGGAGGGGGGCAACTGGCTGGCCATTTGCCACTGGGATACAATCCTTCAGGCAATCGGACTTCAAGCAACATACTCATGGCGTCCTGAGACGAGCTATTTAAACAAGCTGTACAAACTCTATGTACAAAACATGCTGTATCTAAAGCAGCTCCAAGTTGTCTACAACATGTGGCACTGTCACCCAGGTGATGCGCGCTCTCTCGGGCTGACAATGATTGCCCGTGCGACTTTGGCTGCCCGCATCCTGCATGGAGCTGCACCAGGAAAACGACCTCGTATGCTGTGCTCGGAGAACCACACCATCAAACGGAGCTTCCAAAAACTGCATGCCCTTTCTGCAACCACGAAGACCAGGTCACTTTGCGCCATCAGCTCCTTATCCCAGTGGCTTGTGATGAGCCAGGCCAGGACCACAACCATCCAACAAAGCGATACGCACAGCAACTCGAAGGATTTGCGGGCAACAGGCCCCTCGTTCCCTCTGGACAGAGTGAATCCAACTGCCGCCGTCGTTGCTCCTGTAAAGACATGAAATGCGTAGAACAACATTTGCCGCTTGGTGGTGTGCTCTGCACTGATGAGTTCAATGGCATGAGACCAAGCGAATATCATACCTTGTCCAATCAGCGCAGTCACGAGAAAAAATGCTGTAAAGTTTGAAACAATCGGCCCGCGGCTCCACCGCAAAACTCTTCGAAATTCTGTATGGACCAGCACCAGCATGGAAATTGAAGCAGAGATAAATGCAAAGTCATTGATTCCGTACGAAAAGGCAATCACGGTAGAATAATCTTCATCCTGCAGGGGAAGCTGGAGTGAAGTAAGCACGTTGACAACTGCAATAAGAATCACACACAGGTCAAGTGGTGTTGCTCCCTCGCGAGGCACAAGCCCCAGCAGCCAACACCAGGACTTTCGCGATATGACCAGAGCCAAACTAATCTTGGTCACCTGCAGAAACCGGGCAATACGACATCGATTCAAGGTAAATCCCTCATCCCACAACTGGCAATTGAAGCGCGTTGGATCTCGGGAATCGTTGCTGTTGATGTCTCGATGATGGCAATCTGTGCAAAAACAGGAATTGCTAGGGCAAGCCTCGCCACGTACCACATGTTCAGCTCGTTCTACGAGTATCTTTAAACTGAAGGAAAGGCCAAAGAAGCATAGCAGAAAAAGCAGCGCGGTTGTCAATCCAAGAATCCGAGCAAAGGCGACTTGAACCCAATGTGGCACACACTCCGCTTCAAGCGGATCTACGACTTCGGGCTGCACCTGCGGAGGTTTAGTGCGAATTTGCGAAAAGATCTTGCCTCCACGCTGAATCATCCAAGGCCTCTGATGACCACGCGAGGCTTGTTGAACTACTTCAATGGCACCTTCACACGCATCCCTGATGCTGACACCATCTTGCTCCAAAGATTTCACGAGAATCGAAGACAAGCTATTTGAATCCGATGCCCAGCCACCCGGATCACATGCCAGCACGAAGAGGAAATCAGGTGTGAGGTCGGTCTGGCAGGAATACGGACCTCGATACCCCGCACTATCTGCACTGCGTTCAATACGCTTGCAATCTGAACGGGCCTGCCAAGAAGTGATGGGCCCTGATCGGCAGGTATCCATAATGATCCAAATGCAGCAAGGGCGTCGATTGGTTCTTGGAAGCCTTACCTGTGTGAGATCGTTCAACAAGAGCTCATTCAAGTCGACCAGCTGCTGTGTCTCGGAGCAACATGTGCGGTCTGATGGCACAACCAGCGGCAATTCTTTGCCATGTGCATGGATTCCATGCGATGCCACGAAAACTGCTGCTAGAAATGGCAGCCTCGCAGTCGTTGCTTCCTGTATTTGGATCTTTGCCCGCTGAACGAAATCAGACACGAGTTCCACCGCCTTTTGCCTGGTCAAAAGCTCCTGATTGGTTTCAACTGAAACATGGCAACATCCCAAGTCTCTGAATGCGGTTGCCATGTTTTCAGCATCCGCTGCTGCTTGCGGCAGGCACTTTTCGTGCCGATACGCACCAATACCCAAGCACAGAGCTTCTGCAAAGTGGCAATCTAAAGCCATGGCACACGCTGTTCTCTGACACACAAGCAACCTTGAGCCACGTGTTTCGGTTGTACTTTTCCGGTTGGGTGGCCTCTGCTCCGAGTTTAAGTGACAATAACACAAGGGGTGCGTGTCTTACCTCACTTTGGTGGAATACTTCTGGGGCCCGGGGAGCAATCATAGCGCACCGCCGGTTTTGCTTGTGGACCCTCCTCAGAGCCCCTGGACCACCCCATAGCCCTCGCAGAACCTCGCGGAACCCTCGTGACGCTGGAATCCTCGTTTTTGGGTCGTGGAACCGTGGACCTTTCCTCAAAACCCCCGAGCCACCCCGCAGCCCTCCAATTTTTTTCAGGCGGCCCTGAGGTCCACAAGGGTAAGTTCTGCGAGGGCTGGTCTGCGGACATGAAGGTTTCACCATCCACCAAAGCTCCACGAGGGTTCCACGAGCTGCGAGCACGAGGTTTGGAGGAAGGTTTCACGAGGCTCCCAGCAGACGTCCATCACAGTTCCACCAGATTTCCACCAAGGCGTCTGCGGCGGTTCCGAAGCTTTTCCTGGAAATTTGGTGGAGCCCTTGTGGAACCTGGCAAGCCCTGCGGGAAATCCACAAATCCACGAGGTTCCACGAGGGCGTGGGGCGGCTCTACGAGGAGTCGAGGTATTTGAGGCATCTGTACCGCTGGGAAATCTGGTACGCTATCTCAGGGCTCCGGGTCAAATCCTCAAGGAACCCTTCGTAAAAAACCTGACCTGAGAGCCGCCCACCCCGTGAAACGCTCGCTGGGGCACTAGGCGGAATTCTGGTGGAACTAGTGCCCCAGACCCCGCAGCCCTCGCCTGGTGAAGCCCTCGTGGACGTTACCTCAGGGCTGCCCCCGGACCCCGGAGCCTATCTGGGCCGAGACCCCAAAGCTTTTCAGCTGTTGGGGAAAAAACGAGATGGGACACTGGGCATGCGAAAAACTCTGGCTTCTTCTCAGTTGAAATCTGCAACTGCACATTCCACCGTGACAGCCAGAATTGAATTGCTGGGGAGGGCAAAAACTCCATACCGCGGATGGACAAAATCCATTTCGCACCACTTTGAAACCATGGTTGAAACCATTGTTTCTTGGTTTTACCAGGGCACCGAATCATTCCAGGTGGTGCAGGAGAAACGGATTTCGTCCATTTCCAGAGTATGTCACGTGGAAACCAAGGAAGAGCCAGATCCCAGCCCCTGCTTGTCGTATAGGTGTGCTTTTGGTCAAATCGATGGGCTTCCCCTGGTAAGGACGGCAGAAAAAATCCATTTATGTTCTCCAGTGGAACCCATCTACGGGAAATGGATGGCACAAAAATCAATTTACAACCATTTCTTTGTTCCAGTGGAACCCATCTTCGATCCAAAGTAACCGATCAAAAGGACGCTCATGGGCGTAAGCTGCGGCAGATGCTCGCTTTCAGCCTGTTCCAAACAGGGGCCTGGACAAATACTGGCCATGGGTCAAAATCCAGATCCCCCCAGCGAACATCCCAATCCAACCACTAAAATAGGTTCTAAAATGGGTGAAATCACCCACCCCAAAAAATTCGATCCCGTTGGTTTTAACAACCATAGACATATGATGACCCATCTCTGTAGTGCAATTTCTGCGCCCAGCAACATCCCTCAAAAGGCTGTGGGTCAAAAATAGGTACCCCAAATGGAATCCTGGCAAATGGAAACATAGACCAAAACCTGCGGTCCAATTCCTGGTGGTTTAATTTTGACCCATACCCAAAACCAGCCATGAGGCAACCAGCCGCGCTCTCTGCGCGGGCGCCAGCCGGAACTCAGCCCACACTCGTCCTCCTTGCGCAAGGAGATACCTCGGAAACTGTCAACCCGACGGGAAAAAACCTGTCACAAACAAGCAGGCCGTTTTTCCGTAAGAGGTGGCGGAATATTTGGGATCTTCTGAGGGTACTCACTGGCTGAGTGGATGGCCCAAAAAACGTCCAAACTGTATAATTACCACTAAAATGGTCTTCCCAAAAGTGGCTCAAGTCCATGAACTCAGGAAGTGAGCCTTTTCGGGTGGAAAGCCAAAGGAAAGCCAAAGGAGCACCGCTTCCTTTGGGAGATTCCCTCAAAAGAAAGACAAACCTTACCCCTTAAAACTCCAAGGATTGGGGAAGTTAACCTTTTACAGACATATAGCCCATGTTACCCAAAAAGTTGGAAAGTTGTGCTAATTAGAGGTAAGAAACCCATGTCACCAAACGAGTCACTTTGGCCCATGTCCCTTTGCTCAGATCAGTCACCCGGATTTGTTTCCTCATGGAGCCGCTCTAGCCAGGGCTGGTTGCGAAATCGACTGAACAACCACCCCAAACCCCGTGTTCTGCAAGTCCCAAAGAAGCACCTACATGGTGGCTCGTCTATTTTTGGAGCTGGTACCCTTTTGTGTGGTGTAAAGGGAACCAAGAGGAAATCCACCAATTTGGGGGGTCCAACGCTTAAAAAGACACACCCATATGAGGATCTGTTTCGTTGCAAGGGGTGTTGGCACCTGAGTCGGGGTCCCAAACTCTTGCAAGCCACGGTCATCTTCTAGGTCCTCCAGTAGACAGGTTAGAATAAGGGTACCTTTTGTTGTGTAGTCTATTTTAGTAGGGGAAAACTTTCTCAAAAAGGGTAAAAGGGCACTACTGGGGGACCTAGTAATTGGTTGGGTAGAAACTTGATGCTGGAAAGGAACAAGCCCAGTGTTCTACCCTTCTGTTTTGCTCATCTTGAGGTTCGGAGCTGTCTTTTGTTGGGGATCATTCGTAAATCGAGATGAAACCAACCATTCAGGATGACTCCCCTCATTTCGAGCCACAAAAACACACTCGTTTTTTTGCACCTCTTCTCGGCAGGCGGTGCTCCTGCTCCTGATGGTGCTTAGGTGTATGTGCTAGCTGGTCAGACCAGGCATTTCTGGGGGTGAATCAAGCTACATGGGGAAACAGTTTCATGCTGCTTACCACAAGGACGGCAAAACAAAAAGTACGCCCATGTTTGTACATTTGTCATCTCGCACTGCTGGGAAGTCTGCTCTGTTGTGGGCATGGGACAAATAGAAACTTGCGAAACAAGCGGTGAATGGCAATTTGGTGGCACTGGGATAAACCATCCCTGCGCATGCAATCGCACTTCTAGCAAGGCGCCTGGAGGTTTGATGAATCGACATTTGCGCAAACTGTACAGGATTGAAAAGTAGGATCTTGTATCTACAGCATGTCCAAATGATCTTCAACCTGTGTGCGGCATTGTCACCCAGGTGATGCGCATTCGTTCTGCGACTTTGGCTGCCCGCATCCCCCATGGAACTGCACCAGCCAAACGACCACGTAGGAGATTACATTGAATACTGTGCTCAGAAAACCACACCATCAAATGCATTTTCCAAAAGTTGCATACCCTTTCTGCAACTATCCTGAGCAGGTGAGTTCTTGCCATCAGCTCTTCATTCCAGTGGCTTGTGATGAGCCAGGCCAGGACCACAACCATCCAACAAAGCGATACGCACAGCAACTCGAAGGATTTGCGGGCAACAGGCCCCTCGTTCCCTCTGCACAAAGCGAATCCAACTGCAGCCGTCCCAGCTCCTGTAAGTACATCAAACGCATAGAACAAAAACTGCTGCTTCGCAGCGTCCTCTGCACTGACAAGTCCGATGGCACGAGACCAAACAAATATCACAAGTTGCCCAGGCAGCGCGGTCACGAGAAAAGAGGCTGTAAAGTTTGAAATAATCGGCGTGCGGCTCCACCAGAGTTCCGTATGGATCAACATCGGCATGGAAATTGAAGCAGCGATAAATATAAAGTTAATCATTTCATATGAATAGGCGATCACCTCGGAATAGTTTGGCTCCTGCGGAAGCAGCCAATGAAGTGAAGTAAGCGCGTTGACGAATGAAATAAACATCACACAGAGGTCAAGTGGTGTTACTCCCTCGCGAGGCACAAACCCCCTCCACCAGGACTTCCGCGATATCACCAGAGCCGAACCAAGCTTGGTCACCTGAAGAAACCAGGCAATACGACAGCGATTCAAGGGAACTCCCCACAGCTGGCAATCAAATCGCGTTGGATCTCGGTAGCGTCGGTAGCTCTTCCCCCTCGACTTCCACCTCCTCGACGCCTCCTCCCTCCGAGCCTTCTTTGAGCAAAAAGGGGACCCGATGCTTATGACTTGTCGAACAGCCAAGGGGGCCCGATTCGGGAGCCCTCGATTTGCTGTAAATGTCCTGTAAATGTCTTGATCTAGTAGGCAATCTGTGCAAAGACAGGACTGGCTGGGGCAATCTTTGCAACGCGCAACATGTCCAGCTGCTTCTACAAAATTCTTCGGACTATGGAAAAAGCCGACGAAGCACATCAGCACCAGCAGCGCTGCTGCGAATCCAAGAATTTGAGCAAAGGCGACTGGAACCCAATGTGGCACACACTCCGCTTCAAGCGGATCTACGACTGCGCGCTGCGCCTGCGAAGGTGTTGTGCGAATTTGGGAGAAAATCTTGCCTCCTCGCTGAATCATCCAAGGCCTCTGATGACCACGAGAGGCTTGTTGAACTACTTCAATGGCACCTTCACACGCATCCCTGATGCTGACACCATCTTGCTGCAAGGATTTCACGAGAATCGAAGACAAACTATTTGAATCCGATGCCCAGCCACCAGGATCACATGCCAGCACGAAGAGGAAATCAGGTGTGAGGTCGGTCTTGCAAGACTGCGCGCCGCGATACCCCGCCCTATCTGCACTGCGTTCAATCTGCTTGCAATCTGAACGGGCCTGCCAAGAAGTGATGGGCCCTGATCGGCAGGTGTCCACAATGATCCACACGCAGCAAGGGCGGCGATTGGTTCTTGGAAGCCGTACCTGTGTGAGCTCGTTCAACAAGAGCTCATTCAAGTCGACCAGCTGCTTTGTCTCGGAGCTGCATGTGCGGTCTGATGGCACAACCAGTGGCAGTTCTTTGCCATGTGCATGGATTCCATGGGATGCCACGAAAACTGCCACTAGCAATGGCAGCCTCGCAGTTTTTGCTTCCTGCATTTGGAGCTTTGCCCGCTGAACAAAAGCAGACACGAGTTCCACCACCTTTTGTCTGGTCAACATCTCCTGATTGGTCTCAAATGTCACGTTGCAGCATCCCAGGTCTCTGAATGCGGTTGCCATGTTTTCAGCATCCGCTGCCGCTTGCGGCAGGCACTGGTCATGCTGATACGCGCCAATACCCAAGCACAAAGCTTCTGCAAAGTGGCAATCTAAAGCCATGGCTCGCGTTGTTCTTCGACACACGGCGATGCCATTTCGGCGATGCCGCTGGCAACTTTGAGCCAGGTGTCTTGGTTGTTTTCATGGTTTCTTTGTCCGGCGGAATCGCTTCTGCTCCCATGCTAGGTCCTCCAGGAGAGAGGCTAGAATAAGGGCACCGACTTTTTTCTGTAGTCTATTTTAGTAGGGGAACCCTCGCCAAAAAAAGGGAGAGAAGGGCACCTAGCTGGGGGCCCTAGTAAGTTGACCGTAAAACAACAAGGGGTGTGTGTCTCCTGCCTCACTGTGGTTGGAATTGCATGAGAGTGCAACGAGCTGAAGCGAAGAATGGAAGGGAACTTAGGAACATGTTCTCAGAAAAAGCCAAAAACGAGCTGGGACACTGGGCATACGTGTGTTCTGGCTTGTTCTCAGTAGAAATCTGGAACTGCGAAGTCCACTGTGCCAGCAAGAATTGAAATGGTTGCAGGGCTGGGTTGATTGCTCATTCAATGATAGTTCACGTTGAAAGCGAGGTCGAAAAACTGCCGGAAGGTTCCCGGCCGTCTATCTGATAATCCAAGGATAACAAGTCAGGTACTTCAATCCATCACGTCACAATCAACACCTGCATTAAGTGGTCTAGTCCCAAACGTAAGCAAAATACCTGCCCTGGATCCGGTTAGGATGCCATATCTGCGGGTGCTTGTATCATGTGTGTTGTCCCCATTGGTGAAGAAACCCAGTCGGCAAAAAGACAGAAGAGATAAAATCAAAAGCAATCGGCATAAGCTGATCCCGGAGCGAACCTGCGGCTACCCAACCGACTTCTTTTTCAAAACTGGACGTTTCTGTCTCGCAGAAAAAAGAAAGAAAAACAACTACCGGCCGCCAAAGGCAACCTCCCCAAACTGGCACATTTGCTCGTGGGTGTGCGGCAAATGTCCACATTGGATGAGCAAACGTCCTTCAGACTCAGCCAGTCGCATCACCAAACAAAAAGAGGAAGGGGGCAATGAATTGAACATAGGGAACGAAGGGGAGGGGGGGCAATCACTCAGCACCAGCCAGTTGAAGACCTTTGAAAAGGGAAACGGCAAAAGGGAATAAGACAATCGGGGCTCTGGAATTGAATTCCATCTCTGTTTGGTTTCTGCTTTGGGAAAATCTGCTTTGGTTCCGGCTGCGTTGCGCCCAGCATGCCTCAAAACCAGCCAGGACACCTGGCGAAACCTACTGCACGGGCACCAGCCGCAGGATCCTGCGCTGCCGCGCACTCAGCCCACCCTCGTCCTCCTCGCGCAAGGAGATGCCTCAGCTGAAAAAGAGGCGAGCCCAGTGGAAAGGCCTTCAGATTTGAGAGTTAGAATAAGGGTGCCCGATGTTTTTTTCTGTAGTTTCTGTAGTCTATTTTAGTAGGGGAACCGAATCTCCCCCGAACAAGAAACGGTAAAAGGGCACCTAGCTGGGGGAACTAGTAGTGGTGTTCATGCCCATGACCAGTTACCAGTTTCTCACTTCAAGGGGGACTCCTGGCCACTCCTGGAACAATTCAAGTCTTACCGCGAACCCAACTCTTTGCCTTTGCGTCTCGAAGGGAAAAGTCTAGTTACCCAAAACTGACATGCCACCAGCTGGTTTTCCTTTTAAATCCCCTTCAAGCCAACCACACCGGTGAACACCCGCACACGCAAACCCATGAACGCCGACTCCTCAGGCTTCCAAAATTCATCCGTTGGCATCTCTTCCGGTGATCCTCTTCCCGGAGTTCTTAGAGGAGAAGGCGCGGAGAGGACCGGGAAACAGATAGATTCTAGACGCCGATTTTTCTGGGGCGTTTTATTCAGATCTGCTGAAAGTTTTTTCAACTTTTTGGTTTAGTGGAAACCCTGAAAGCCTGAAGACCTCGAAAAATGGCTGGGAACCCCCAGATTTACTGGGGCGAAGGCCGTGAAAGATAAGACCTTACAAACAGTTTGCAGCTACCTTCTCGCCGCTTCGTTGCGTAAGGGGTAGATTGCGAGGTTGCCTCGCTGTTCCGCTCTGCGACTTAAAGCTTGAGACTCAGGAAGTGGTCTCAGCCAGATTGGAGGGCTCCGCGAAAGTTCCTTTCCGTGTCTGGATTGGACACACACACACACACACAGAGACACACACACACACACAAACAAACACACACGAATGGAAACAAAGAGTCGCCTCGGGTGAAGTTTCCGCGTGGTCTGCCCATGTGATATTTCTATCGGAGGGTCCCCTTCAAATCAGCTATCAGGAAAACAGATACACAGACACACAGGCACACAGACACACACACACACAAATGGAAGCAAAAAGAGGCTTCCAGTGAAGTTTCCAAGTTTCCCCTTCAAGTCTCTCAGCCGCGGAGCGGGACATGAAGGCCGAAGGGGCCGCTGCCGCTTGTTGCTGAGGTGGGGGCCGCCGTCCGCCGCGCAAACGCCCAAAAATGTGGCCAGCCCGGGCGAAGCCTGGGGTTCCTGTTTTGAGGGCATTTTGCTAGGGGTACCTTCCCCCTTTTCTTTCCAGGGATCCGAATCTTTTCAGGAAACCATCAAAAACCCAGGGGAAACGGATCCGGTTTTTGAAAAGAACGATGGTTGATAAGAATGGAAAAGGAATGAACCCCTAGAATTCTGGGTGTTCCTCAAGAAGTTGGGACCCTTCTCCCCCCCCCAAAAAAAAAGGAAGAAGAAGGAAAGTGCAGGAAACCAAAAAGACGGAAAGGGTGCGACTGGGAAAGCCGGCCTGGCAACTTGACATCAACATCGTGACCTTCTTTCCCAATTCGAACACCGAGGTTTCGGGCAGCCGTCAACGTGTCTGGAGAAACCAACGTGCGCCACTCACCCGCTAAGCCGCGTCGAATTCTGGTTCATAGTGAACCGAAATCAAAACAATGTCAAAAGAGATCCCCTCGGAAGGGTGACCCAGTGACCAACCCGCCTTCAGCTTTTGAACGGAAGATACAAGTGCAGCTTTTCGTGGCGACCCTCAGCCAACAGGATCCGCTTGGAAATATGGCAACCGCCTTTGGTGGTGCCAATAATTTTGCCCGAACGGAGAAGCCGAACATTTTGATGGCCCGATGCCTTGTTCTTGGGACCCGTGAGCCTGTGACTAGGTCCTCCAGTAGAGAGCTGAGAATAAGGGTACCAACCTTTTTCTGTAGTCTATTTTAGTGGGGAACCCGCCCCCAAAAAAGGAGAGAGAAGGGCACTACTGGGGGACCTAGGTGGATTAAGATGGCTTCTGACGGCTTTTGATTGTTGATGGTTAGGAATGGCTGATAACGATGCAACATGCTTGGTCGCCAGTATAAACTCATCCCGTTTTCTGATCCCCTCCTAAAAGCTGGCGAAATAGAAACTCCAAACTCCCACTAAAACTAAAAACACTAGACAACCCCGGGGAATGGCCGGGAACCGCCAAGTGTAAATATTCCATCAGGGATCCACCATTACCCGCCGCCCAAAGACCAACTCAAGTCGGAGACGCCATGAGCCGCCATTGTCCGCAAGGAAAGTAAGGTATTCAAGGCCGGGCGGGGGTCAGAACTTCCCAGCTGCAGTGCACCAGTTGATGGAAATCCTTTCTCAATGCTTGATCCTTGCAGAAAGCCGCCAAAACTGCTGGCTTTCCTTTGGTTTCCCTTTGCAACCAAAAAAAGGGCACCTTCAAAAACAACGTTCCCATAGATCTAGTCTCCTGCAAATTCCGACTTCCAGGTTCATGAGTGCGGAAGGGACCTGTGCCTTGAGACCGAATCGCATCCTGGCTGCCCCACACTGCCACCGGCCGCGGCCGGCCGCTTACGTTGGGGCTGCCGCGGTGCAGCGTGCGCAGGTCACGCCTTGGGTCGGAAAATGAGCTTGGCCCGTCTGCACATGACAGTCGCTTCCCCAACAATTCACCGAAACCCTGGCGTTCAACCTAGGGGATGTTTAAACACTGGGACGCTTTGTTGCACCTGCGCGCGCTGGCTTAAGGTGCCGTTGGGTGAGACTACATGGCAGTCTTCCATAACTTTGGAGGAGTCATCCTTCTGCTTACCCAAAGAGACTTCTACCATCTGCTGTTCTCCTAAAGTTTGCCTGCATAAACGCAGGGCGCATGCCCCCCACTTTCTGATATGGGTGTGGGTCAAAAATAGGTCCCCATAATGGGTTGCCCTGGCAAATGGAAACAAGGACTAAAACCTGCGGTCACTGGTGCTTGAATTTTGACCCGTACCCACATGGTTTTTGTTGAAGTCGACTTTTGTGTAAGCCCTAGTTATTTTTCTTTCCTGAGGAAAAAAAACGGCTTTGCCCCCCCGCCCCGTCTGTTACGCTAGGTGCCAGGGTCCAGGGTGCCCACCTCCAGTCGCCGCTCGCGCCGAGCGGCAGCACCACGTCCCCCCGCCGCAGCAGCAGCCGCCGCAGCGCTTTCGGTCGGCGCAGCAGCCGCGCGCGGGAAAGCGCCAGAGGCGCCTAGCCAGGCTCCCAATGGATTAGCCAGAACCCGTCTCTACTAGCTCCTCCAGTCGAGAGGTTAGACTAAGGGTACCAACTTTTTCTGTAGCCTATTTTAGTAGGGGCCAAGAACGGGTAAAAGGGCACTAATGGGGGACCTAGGAAATCGACTTCGCACCAAAGAAACCCAACGGCTTCTGATGATTCCCCCTGTAAATACCAGTGCACGATGGACCATGGTGCAGGAATTCGTCCATCCGCAGTATGGTGTGTCATTTTTAAGGTTGGACCCCCAATTCCTTCCTTTTAAAACCATCCCAAAAAGATGCACCCAAAAAACGTCTCTTGCTGTGGATGGTTGCGAAATCCGTTCGCACGAAATGAAACCATGGTTGAAACCATTGGTGGGTATTTCAGGGGAATCGAATCATTCCAGGGTTTCTTTTAGTGGTGCGAAATGAGTTTTGTCTATCCACAGTCTGAATCCCTTCAACCTGTTCTTCCCTTTTCTGGGAACATCTGACGGTGACCTTCTGTCACTAGGAGAGGGGGGTTCGTCTATCCATTGGTCGCAAAGGAGACCACTTCCGAAATGGACTAAGTGTCTCTGTCCATATGGCTGTGACTCGCAAAATGGCACCCAAAATGGATTGAAACGAAGACTAAGACAAAACCTGCGTATCCCTGGCTCTTTTAGGTCTGAGCCACACCCATATGAGTTGGCCGAATTTCAGGGTTGGCCTGACCCCGCACCGAAATAGATTTCGCCTGCGGCTCAAGATCAACGCCTTGGGAGCCTGGATTCGAGCTGCGAGGTTTTTGGAGCGGTGGGCGGGCAAGCGCCGGGGGGAGGGGGGATTGGGATTTTGCCTGGTAGACGAGAAAGAGTTGCTTGGTTGCTGTAACGACCCTGCGAAAAGTGAGTATAACTTGTGGATCCAATTCGGAAAATCCACTGCTTCAACCAAAAAGTTAAAGTCCAAAGATCCAAAGATCCAAATTTCCCACAAAGGTTGGGGGGGTGGTCTGCTTCAGGCGGCCGAAGGAGCGACCCTGCTGGTTTCCAAGGGCAACCTTTCTGATTTTGGGACACTGGGTGGAGGACGACGTGGAGACCTGGCGATCGATCTCCCATTTTGCCCCAGAAACTAGAAATGCAGATCCTCCCACATCCCCAAGCGGGACACTTCCCGAGTGGACTGGCCAAAAAGAGTCGAAAAACTGGCGTTTATTGGCAACCCAACCCAAAACGTACAAAGTCCAGGAACTCACGCCGTGAGGGGATAACTCATCCCAAATGAGGGCTTTGTGTGAATTTACTCATCCTAGGTCCTCCAGCAGAGAGGTTAGAACAAGGGTACCAACTTTTTCTGCAGTCTATTTCAGTAGGGGAACCCTCTCCCAGAAAAGGGTGAGAAAGGGCACTACTGGGGGACCTCGATCTACTTTCAACCAACTGCACCGTTTCTGAAGGTCGTCGTTTCGGCTAGAGCCCTGCCTCCTGACTGCCTGGCAGTATCTCCATGGGCCCATCCTCCTCCCGCACATCCACCTAGGATGTGGGTCAAGCTCCAAAGGGCCAAATGGGTCAAAATCCAAATCGTACCCCCAGTGAACATGCCAATCCAACCACGAAAATAGGTTCCAAAATAGGTGGTGCACCTACCCCAAAATGGGATCCCGTTGGTTTTGACCCACGGCCTAATGGGCATGTCCGTGTTTTGGAGGCGGGTTTAAAAGGGACAAGAAGCTAGAAAACTCACAGCTGGTTTGGCTCAACCTGCGTTGTCTTCCAGCGGCATCTCTGGGGCCCCAAAGATGCAACAGTCTTGGGACCCTTTGAAGTGGTGAAGCCTCAAAATAGGGCGACACCCCAAAATGAGCTTCGGTGGTCCCACTGGTGTCACGCGGATTCATCCACTCTGCTTTGGGTGTCCCTCCTTGGTACATAGCTTTAGATGGGTTCCTTTGAGTTGGTACCCATTTGTGAGTTTAGAGCCGAACCAAGAAGGAAAACCGAAGCCACTTTGGGCGGCCCCCCATATGTCTACGACCTATCGGCCAAAAACACAATATATCCATTCGCAACCACTCGGCCAAGTCGCTAAGGGGAAGTTCGCAGACACCAGCACGGGCGCTTGCGTCGGATCTCGGGGCAAGCCCCCAAACGGCCGGAAAGAAAAAAGGGGGGGAGAAACAAAACACGGCCAAGGACGGGTGTGTGTTTTTTGAGAGCATTGTTACGTTGGTTTCAAGCAAAACCCGCAGGAAACAAAACAAACAGGGTTTTTCCGAGGGTACCGCATTTACAATGCTTGGTGTTTTCAATCGTTACATTGGTTTAAAGGGAAAACAAAAGGAAACCCATCATGTTGGGGGCCCCACTACTTCCATGCCTAAAGGCGGTCGAAGCTGGTCGAAATGGGTCTAGGTACCTGCTCCAAATATCTTCTTGAAAGCCCGTCCAAACCCGTCGGCACTGGATTTCCCCAAAGGTTGCAATTTGACAAGAATGAAAATGGAACCAACTCCTCACTTCCTTTCAAGACATACCCCACAGAACCAGTCTAGGTATGGCTACCCCTTTACCATGGACGTGTCGAGAATTAGGTTCGCAAGTCCCGCTGCGATGTGTCGAATGCAGGTTTTCCCCGAGCAAGAAATCATGAGACCTCCTTTCTCGTTGCATGGCCTCTTGCATTTAGCCGAGAAAAAAAAGATGAGCATGGGTGGTAAAATAGATGGGTTTCCCTGGTAAATGGATGGTAGCCAACTGGGTAAATGGATGGCATACCTCTCCAAACCAGCGGAACCCATCTATATATTTCTATTCAAAGTAACCGATCGAAAGGACAGCTATGACCATGAGAATTGCCATAAAAGGGGGAAACCAGACCTGCGACCAATGGAGCAGTGGCCTCAGTCGATACAATGTTGCTTGCGCTTCATATGGCTCGGTCTTTTTTTTGAGTTTGTTTGGACAAACGAACAAGCGGGGATACGGAGGGAGGGATATGGGGGGGATTCCCTTGGCGTTATTTTTCATATCAACTTAGTCAAAGTGCATTTAGGGGGAATCCTCCCGTATTCCTGGTTTTCTTGTATCCCTGCTAGTTGGTTTCCCTGAATAAACAGTTGCTGGATATAAACTTCAGCTGTACATCCCCCAGCTGCTCAGGGGTTTCCCAGCATTGCCCAGTGCTGTTCCGCGCGGAATCCCAGCTGAGATACCAAAATCATGTTGGGATTCGGGAAACGGGCGGTCTTGGTTGCCCATGTGCAACAGCTCATTCCTGCCAAAAAAAAAACAAATGTTCGCAGCGGGCGCCATGGAACTCTGTTCGAAAGCAACTCGATCTAATTCGTAGCTGTCTGCCCTACCTGCTTGAACGGCCAAGGGAAGGCCATCCAGAGCACAAGCTCAAGCCACGATAGGCCATGAGTGTCCAATCCTGTCCATCCATAGGAAAAGACCAACCTGGGCTTGAAGTGAAACACTTTTGATGGGTTAAATGGCTGTGGCTCAAAAACATGGAGACCAAAATGGCACCTTGGTTTTATTGGAACCAAAGACTAAACCTGCGTAACCCTATGAATTTTGAGCCACAACCAAATGGAAACTACCAATTGCTAAGAGGGTTGAGTAGGGCCCCCCACCCCTCCACCCGTTGTCCCATTTATAGTTATGATTGTGAGTTGATTTTTCAGTGGGTGGAACATCCTCCCGCACCGCCCCCTTGCCTGCCGCTTCTACATCGGAGTGCAACGGCTGGTGCTCAGACCCCTGGCAGCGAACAGGCAGAGCCGGGCTGAGCGAGATCCGTGAAGCCACGCATGGCGCGGCCCCTGTTTGTCGAGGCGCGGTAATACACCCCCAGGCATTAATCAGGGGGTCCCCTAAAAGAAAGGATTCCCCACTAAAAAGGGACCCGATTAGAAAGGGGGTTTGTGAATGGTGGCTTGAAAAACAGTTTGGGCCTTGAGGAAAAACCAAACGCTTGCAGAGACTTTAGAGAATTGGGCCAAACAGGGATGGTTTAAAGGGAAAGTAAAAGGAAACCACCAAATTGGGGGTTCCGATTCCTATTTTGAGACAGACCCAAACATTGGTGTGTTGATTTCCTTAATCCAACTTGGCAAATTTCGGGGTTATCAACTCCATGCAAGGTCCAGGCAAACGGCTGGGAACCGCAAGGCATATAGACTTCCTATCAACTCGCCCGCAACTCACGTATCCACATCCGTACAGCAACCCTGAAGGCACCGCTTAGCCAGCAGCACACCCAACACAAATCAGCTCCAAGCCAACCCCAAATCACCCCCAAAGTCAACCCTAAACCCGCCCAACAGCAGCCTTATCTCCGCGTAAATCAGTCCCAAACCACCCCAAGACCCACCCTCATGAAGATCTAAGCCAGCCTAACCCCCCCTAACTGAAACCAGCCCCCAGCAACTCCCAGCTGCCTCCCAATCAGAGCCAATAGGCAACCCCCGGCCAAGTGAGGCTGGTGATGCCGGGGATGCGGCAAGCCAGCCAGCCAGCCAGCCAGCCAACCAACCAACCAACCAACCAACCAACCAAGCCCTAGTAACAAAAAAAAGCCCTATGAAAAGGGAAAAAAACGGATCCCCAAATGGCTACCCTCCAAAAAAAAAGAGAGGCACGCCCATGTTGGGACGACTTTTTTTTTCTCCGCGGGGAAGAAGCTGTCTTGTGGGCGTTGCCTCCGTTGCCACGTCCACCGCCAGCTGGTAGGCCGCGTAATCCCCGAGCACCTGCTGCAGTGCCCCGTCCAGCAATGGATGCCCCACGATGCCCTGGCCGCATGGCTTGCAACTTGCACCACGAGCAACCAGTTGGGGGCACGGCTGTTGTTGGGCAGCGCATTTTTGGGTGTGCTTTAAAGGGAAACGAAAAGGAGAACCACGTGTCGTGTGGTTTTATCCTTTCTTGTTTTGGTTGGGGAAAAGACAAAGCCAGTGAATTCCAGCCAGTAAAGGAAACCAGGCATCCACTTAGTGTCAAAAGCGAGTGGCTCCCCTAGTGTCCCAACAAAGGCGACTGGAATCGCTGGAGTCAAAGGGCACCTGAGTCACTTGCTCAAAACCAAAATCCAAATCCAAATCCAAACCTCCATGGAACCTGACAGGGGGGTCCCCGAAGACCACTAACCATTTAAAGCTACCCTCTGTCAGGTTTCATGTTAATTGGTGGGAGGGTTACACGAGTCACTTGCTCAACACCTGGTATTAAAATGGTCCAAGCCCACAACCATGATTCAAGAATTAAGAAGGCGGCCAGCCATTTATGGTTGGGATTGTCCCTTACTAACCTTCATCTACCCGGGCTTTGATTGTGGCTCACCTGCAAAAAGGGAATTTGGGATTGTTCCCTTCTGGAAGAACCGAATACCCCCAAGCCGCATCTTGGTGCCAGGAAAGGCGGACCCCTGTTTCACAGGCTTAGCTTTGCACGGGAAAAAAAAGCCTCCCGGTCAATGGTCTTGCCGGGGCTCGGTGCCGAGGAGGGGCTTCCTCTTGAAGGGAAACAGCCAGCTTCCGCTTGCGGGTTGCCTTCTGGAGGGTAGACCGCCCTTTTTGGAATGCGGGAGACACAGAGACAACTTCACGACAGGAAGGCGCTCCATCACCGGTGCCGTTTCCACGGACTCATTGTGCAACCCCCAACAACCCCAACCTCCCCAGCCGCCCCAACCCCAAACGTCCGCGCCTCCTCATGGAGAAAGGCCGCGGATGGCTGCAGCACTGCATACTGCCTCCCCCGGCCGCGGTTCCCAACTCGTCCTTTCCGGCGCAGAGCCTTGGCAAATGCCAAGCAGCGACTGAGAAGCAGAGGCCGTCGGCATCTCTGGAAGTCTCGTCTTGAGGGTGCCCTCTTCCCCTTTGAAACTTCCATCTTAACCTGTCAGTCTGATTCATGATCTGAGTGATGTATTTGTTAAACTGATCTGTATGTCAATGAGTTAATGATACTGTGGATGGACGGAATCCTGCACCACCTAAGAACCCCCAGAATGATGATTCCCCTGTAAATTCCAACGAACAATGGTTTCCCATGGTTTCAGTTCGTGGTGCGAAATGGATTCCGTCCATCCACAGTATGTCAATGTCTAGTGATCATTGTTTGCTTCACTGTGTGACTTGATGTCATGTTAATGATCTGCCTTCCCAAGCCCGTGATCCGACCTGCCTCTCGCATCTCTGGGGGGGTCCCAAACAAGGCGCCCAAAGGCTTGTATGGGTGAAGCTTTTATTCAGGGTACCCTTTGTGGTTACCAAAAGAAAAACCACCTTCTTTCGTTTTTTTTGGGGGGGAGCGATGGGGGGAGCGATGGGGGGGGGCCATAAACAGACACACTCATATAGGTCACACTATTCCATTTTCAGCGAGGCAGTACCACTGAAATTTTGCGAACTCGGAGGTAGGCACCCGTTGCGAAGTTCCGAGGCAGCGGCTGCTGCGCACTCGGCCTCACACACCAAAAACTTCCAGCGAACTTTTTTCCGTGTCCCCCAAGCACGTGGCACCTGAAGGGAGCCAAAGGAAACCGAAGCGAAACTGCATGTTTGACAGTTCCTGCAGTTGAAAACAAACCCGCGGAGGACAGCAGGCTTCAGTTGACACTGGTGATGTCAAGTCTGTGCGGGTGTTTGCGCGGTTGCCCCATGTTGGTGTTGTATCCACAAAAGTCAAGAAACATTTGATCATGGCTCAAATAATTTAATCATGGCTCAAATGTGCCATGATCAAAACGATGGCCCGCCCCCTCAAGAACTTATTGTGGTTGCAAGTGAATCTCAAGCATAAGAGCCTCCCAACCAAGTACAAGCCTGACGCAACTGGAAAAGTTGCGTCGGGTTGCAGCTGTCATTTATGCCTTGCCGATACTTAGGTCGTGGGAGCTGCTTGGCTTTCCTGTGATGACTCTTTCCAACTCAAGCTTCACTTTCTGCCGCAAAGCTAAAGACCCAGTTTTCACCGTGACATCACTGCGCTTCGGGTTTGGTTGGAGTGGAACGAAGGGCCAAAGCAGAGGTTGTTGCTTTCCTGCCAGAAATTCACCTGTTCTCTCCTGAAACATACTGCTGGGATCGATCCTTGCGGTGACTGCTGTCTTCCATCTTGCCCGTTTTGTCGGGTTGCTGAGTTCTTTGGCAATGAGCTTACATTTTAAGGTTCACTAGATATGGAGTGAGGGAGTTCATGATTGTGACATCGGGCTGGGCGGTTTGAAACGACCCAACCCTGGCTCTTCCTTACAGTAAGCACTAGTGACCGGTCGCCCGTCTTCGATGTTGGATCAACACTTTCCTGAAACATGGTTTCAGTCTTCGATGGCACCGGTACAATGGGTGTGTCTCCTTTTTGAGGAATTCCCAAAATGGCAGTTGTCCTATCGGTTTCTTTCTCAAAACCACCCCTTTTGGGACCCCCCAAAAAGAGAGCCGAGCTGAACTCAAACCAGCGGATCCGACGGACTCTGGAGCCAGTTGAACCGGAAACGTTTTGCGGGGCAAAGTAAAAGATTCTCAAGCCACGGATCTTTTTGACGTCGCCATTGAGGACACTGAAAATAGGCCAACGCATGTTATGCTAGCTCCACACCCAGAGGGTCCCTTGGTACCTCCTGAAAATGGATGGCTTTTGGGGGGTAAAAAGGGGTCGGGCTAAGTACCTCCTTAGGTACCAAGGGACCCTCTGGGGTTCTGGGCTACCGCCGGTCCGGTCAACAGTGGCTGCCTTTGCCAAAGGCTGGCCCCGCCATTTCAACCCTCCCGGGCCTCGTGACCTGTAGCCCGGCCAGTTAAAACCTCCCAGCCCAGAAGCCCCGGCCCGTACATCCAATGCTTTTTATTACGACCACAAACCTTTGTTGTCCCATTCACCATGATTAAATAACCAACTCGACGTCCAAGCACTGTGGCTTTTCCCGGTCTGCCTTCGTTTGACAGTGAATGGGGTCTACCCAAAACCGTGCAAAGAACCCAAGTGGACTGCACCAACTTGCTGGTAGCTATCTGCCTCTCCGCCCATGTGTCTCAAACTGGGCTGACTTTGACTGGCTCCAGATTTGAGAGGCTAGAAGAAGTTGGTACCAACCATTTTTTCCTGTCTAATTATTTTAGGGGAACCTTTCCTCTAGTCTATTTTTTGGCAGGGGAACCGAATCTGCCAACCCAAAAAGAAAAAAAGGGGGGGGAGAAAGGTTGCACCAAGCAGCTGGGAAACCTTGGCCATGAGATTCCTTCCCGGCCCTGGAAAAAACATCAAATGGGGCCTAGTCTTGGTTGACCTTGGAAGGGGAGCAACAATTCTCAAATGTTAGCAGTTAAGCGGTTGGATTTCAACCACTAAACCAATAAGCAAAAATGTAAAATGTTTCCCAACAACAAGCATGTTGATGTGTTTTCTCATAAATCCAAGAAAAATATATGCCACCAGCCAGATTTTGGTTGGGGGGGGAGCCCCCGCATTTGGGTATGGGTCAAAATTAAACCACCAGGAATTGAACCGCAGGTTTAGTCCATGTTTCCATTTACCAGGGTTCTACATTGGGGTGACCCTATTGTTGACCCACAGGCAGAAGTCGGAGGAGCAAAGAACTCCCTTCTTGGCAAAAATGGATCTGTCTTTCTGGAAGAGCCTTTCGGGCTTTTCTGTAAATGGAAAAAGGGGTGGGTACGGTTTTCATGTAACTTTACCCATGTGTCTTTTTGGTTTTTGAAGGGGGGATAGGAAGTGCGGGCTAGAAACTTGTAATTCGTGAGCCAAAATCGCGGTTCGTCTGCTTTGGGGAGGACCCACAGTCTACGGTATACCCATTTCGCGGGGTCGGTCTCCAACCGAGGCGAGGCACGGCCCAGGTGGTCACCAGGGCCTCGGGCAGGATCCGGCGCAGCACCTCTCAGGCCCGATTTCTCCGAAAACCGGCCGTCCGTTTTGGGCGCGTCTCCCTCGTATTTTTAAAGGGTACTCCCTTGTTGGAGCCCCATTTTGAGGTGGGAACCTTGTTTTGAGGGGTCATTTGTGGCTAGGTCCTCCAGATTTGAGAGGTTAGAATAAGGGTACCAACTTTTTTGAGTCGTCTATTTTAGGGGAACCCTCCCCCAAAAAGTTGGTCAAAGCAGGACCTAAATACCCCCCCTTTTAACGGAGCCCCAAAACTGGGGTGGGAACCCCCTTTTGAGGGGTCATTTTTGGAGTGGGAGCCCCTTTTTGGTTGATGTTTTTTCTGTTTTTTAAAGTTGGAAACCAAGAAGAAGACCGACGCCAATTTTGGTGCTTTTTCCTTAACAGAAAAGAGCAAATGTCTGGTGGTGTTCCCTTTGGTGTCCC